GTTAGTGTGAGCATTGGTAGAGTTTTTGTAAATTCACTGCAACACATATGACTTTTAACAAGTGGAATTAATTATTTGGGAATAGCATATTAAATTATCTGAAAGGAATAGGAAAACCTTGGACAGACATAAAGTTCTCATACGATAACGTATTGCCAATTATCAAAAATATTAAGGATGTGGTTGATGTCTTTTTTTGAACCAGTTAAGAAAATAAATTGATTTGTTCCTAATCAGAATATTGCATTTATTCCAAAGGAGAGCGTTTTGGGGAGAAAAATTGTGGACAAAAGCCAGTTTCCAAGCTAGAAGGGCCTGCTGATGAAATTTGGACAATTTGATGAGTAATTTGTTAGGTAAGAAGTTACATTTCAAAAGAAAAGACAGACCTCGTATTGGGTTAAAGATATGGTTTGGCATGAAGAACCACAATGAATCAGGATTTATTAGGCATGTTTTAAAGTCCCTGAACAGGTCAGATGAGCAGCAGGTGTGTTGATATCACAGTGGGTATAAAAGTCACCGCAGCAACATCTTCTGCAGCGTTTGCTTCAGTTGTCAGCAGAAACTTAGATCAGATTGAAGACCGGATTTTCTTTGTCCTCTTCGAATAGAAAGATGAAGAATCTCTGCGTCGCTTTCCTCGCAGCTTTCCTGCTTCTCTGCCTCACCTCTCAGGTTTGTTTGGGTTTGAAAACTTTCTGTTGAATACAAATGCTTCTAATGTGATTTTGGTGTCGGCTTATAGGGGTAAATGTTATGTAATGTTAAATGGATGTAAATTCAAACCATAAAAATATAAAAAATCCTCCCCTTTCCAATGAGTAAAGGGAGTTTGCTCATTTATTGTGTTGCATGAATCCATCTTTATTCACAGGAAAGGTATTGTTAATATTTATTTTATTGCAGATGGATGCGGCGTCAGAGTCCAAACGGTCCACAAACAACACCGCCGCCTCCTTCTCCCGCAGCGGCACCTCCTTCACCCTGCTGATGCTCCCTGTGGCTTTAGCAGCTTTTCTCCTCCACAGCCGCTTGGGATGATGCTCCGGTCCAGACAGATGAGAGTGAGGACAGAAAAAACTTTTCCATTTGGTTTTCACCCAGCTTTCCAACACGGGAGCTTGTTTAAGCACCTTGTTTCCTCCATGGACAAATCTTCATGAAAACCTATGTATTTCATGTGTGGGGAGTAAATGTGATGTAACGTTGGATAATCACATTTAAAAATGCTTCTGATAGGGCGGTGGAGGGAAAGTAAAAACTGCTGGCTGTAACCTTCTCATTCTGTTTCATGATTTGAATAAAACTTAACGCCACCAGTTTTGCAGCGATCTCTTTATTTCTGTTTTATAAACTGGAAGATTAGATCATTTTGAGTTGAAATTAACTTGTGCTCATTGACATTTTAAGCACACATATGCCTTAACGGTGTAACTTAGCAGTAATGTTGACATTTCATACCTGTTTTAAAGGTATAAATACTTGGGAGTGATTCTGGGGAAAATGTATAATTAGGGGTGTACTGTGAGACCGATCCACATGTGTCACCCATCAATTTTCAATCTACTTAAAAGACTAGTTGATTTATTTATATAGCGCCAAGTCACAACGGTCATCTCAGGGCACTGTACAGAAATTTTTATATATAAGGAAGGATTATCTGAGGAGCAGACTACTTTGAGTTCATTGCACTCTCATCTTGAGCAAGCATGAAGGCAACAGTGTAAAGGGAAAACTCTGTGAGAAAGAAGCCTTTAGCAGAATTAGACTCAGGACAAGCGGCCATCTGCTACGACCGGCTGGGTTTGAGAGGACAGGAAGGAGGAACGGATACACGTTGGCAGGTCGAGAATTGCATGTTAAGATGGAAATTTCAAATGCAAACTATTCATTTGTAACTCACTGTAATGAGGTTCTCCAATAGTCTAAGCCTATGGCATCATAAGAAGCCAACCCTAACTATAGGATGTATCAAAAAGGAAAGGGTAGCACAAGGTTAACAGTACAATGAAATGCTCAGAAACAATATGACTCACTAAAAACAAAGAACAAAAACACTAAAGCATGCAACAGAGTACAAAATAAAGTACCAAAAAGTGAATTTACAAGGTCCTAAATAGTAAACAACATGGTAGACTTTTTATTTTAACGGTGCAAGTAGGATGAATTTGTATGAATAAGTATTTTAAGGTACAGTAGGTCCTTGAAGGTCTTAAGCCTAGTTTTAAAACTGGACAATGTGTCAGCCTCACAGCCAGAAAATGGAAGTTGGTTCCACAAGAGAGGAGCCTGATAACTGGAAGCTCTTCATCACATTAAGACTCGGGCAACAGCACGACCCTGAGAAAGTGGAAGCTCTGAGAACATGGCCTTTGCCTCGAGACCTCGAGCAACTCAGGTCATTCTTGGGCTTTTCAGGTTACTATAGGCGCTTTATTAAGAACTATTCAAGTCTCGTTAAGCCCCTCACTGACCTAACACCAGGTTTTCCATAGTTTTAATATATTTATCACAGGAGATTGCCTGCCTCGAGCCAGTTTTAGACTTCTGCACAGGGCTGTTTAGTGAAACAGATCATTAATAGTGAGTTGCACACTTTAAAAAACCTGCAGTTACTTCTTCCATGGTGCTATTAGTCTAATGATGCAAAGTTTTTTACTGAACTTTGTGTAAAATCGTAAAAAAAAAAAAAAGAGTAACATATAAGATGAATTTGTAAAGTGTATACATATTTTTGTAGCTCCTGATGAAAAACTGAGGTGAACAGAACAGACGTGCTGAGACCGAGCTCATTTATTTACATTTTCTGCACCACAGAACCTTCACATAACCCTTTGGAAGCTTCATAAAGGTGTACCAAATATCAGCAAGAGGATTTGAATCTCTTGCAAATTATTCTGCATACTCCCAGAATTAAAAAAAAAAAACCATTAATATATCTGGAAACATTTGCTACTAAGAAGCTAGTTCTTTTTGTAAAATGGTCTTGAGCAACTGTTCTCCAGGCTTTTATGAAGGTCTAATATCTGTGAAGCATGTCAGAACTCAATACCTGCTAAAGTAACCGCATTATTAGGAGTACCAATTAAATTATATTAATATCAATAAAATAAGTTGAAAAACTGGATTAAATCAATACAATTTTTGTTAATTCTAGCATGAGAAGGTGAAGTGACACCAACATTTAGATGAAATGGGAAAGACATCAGTAAAGAGAAATTGCAGTTGACACTAACCATGTAGAGTGCAGTACTTTATTTGTTGCCTTTACGTCAGTGCAGCTGTCAGACCAACTATAGTTAATGATGAAGTCAGATTTTATGTTCCTCATTACAAAATGATTGCAGATTTGGTGACTCGATGACTGCAGTCTACACAAATGAAGAAAGTCTTTCAGATAGAATAACAAATTCCATCAAGCACGTATTGAATTGCAGCATCATAAAGTAGACATTTAATTAAAGAATTGTATATTTTTTCCCTTTGTGAGCATCGATTTTGATGTCTGAAAACTCAGAAAGTATGGCATTGTGTTTAGGGTCATCTGAATTTGAAACAATATTGTTCAGTAAGAAGGATTAAAGTAAAGGTAAGTTAAAAAGCAGGCTCGATGATAAAGTTATCAGCCTACTGAACATTCCTAACTTTAACGTAATCTCATGCTGTTTTCATTGCACTTCAAAAAAGGAAGTCATTATTGCAACTCTATTAAAAATAATTTTATAGTTCCGTTTTCTTAAAAACAAAATTAACAAATGATTTCCTACCAGTGCTTTTTCTGATATTTTATAGCCCATAAGATAAATATGACAGTACTGTATATAAAAACAGTTAATATTAGTGCTTTGGTACAATCATTTAGTTGAATTTGAACCTATAAAATACCACAAGCATTTTAAGACAAAAGGAAATTGTGTCAACTCATAAATAAGAGACAGTTTCTTTTAACAGGAAGTGATTCATCACGGCCGGTCACATGATGCTGCATTTATTGTCAGTTATGATGATCTGGCATGGTATACTTCTGTTAATCTTCATCAAAAAGTCTTAAAGTCACCATACTTTGTGATTGATCATGATTTCTCAACATAAAACATCCTACGTGAACATGTAAGGTGTTCAAGGTGCAAACACCCAAGGTGTAACTTAAAAGATTAGAATATCATGGAAAAGTTCTATATTTTTGTAAATAATTTCAGAAAGTGAAACTCATATTTCATAGATTACACAAAGTGAAATATTTCAAGCCTTTATTTCTTGTAATTTTGATGAATATTGCTTACAAATAATGAAAAACAAACTCTGTGTCTCAGAAAATATGATTATTCCACAGCCAGCTGTTGGAAGCTTTGTCAGTGTGGGCAGGAGACCAGTCCTGCTGGAAAATGAAATCAGCATCTCTGGAAAGCTCATCAGCAGAAGAAGCATGAAGTCTTTGTAAAATGTCCTGGTTGAGTGTGGACTTCAGAAAATCCAGTGGACCAATACCAGCAAAGGACATGGACCCAAACCATCACTGACTGTGGAAACTTCACATTTGACCTCAAGCAACATGGATTCTGAACCTCTCCACTCTTCCTCCAGACTCTGGGACCTTGATTTCTAAATGACATGAAAATTTACTTTAACCTGAGAAAAGGACATTGGACCACTGAACAACAGTCCAGTTGTTCATCTCCTCAGCAGGTAAGACACTTCTGACATTGTCTCTGGTTCAGGAGTGGCTGGACTTGAAGAATGAGACATTTCTAGCTCATGTCTAGGAGTTAAGCAGCTGAATCTGGGTGTGACACCAGAAGTTTACAATATTGAACAGCTATAAGAATATTCCATTTTTTGTGAGAACCTGAAATTTGTATTTGTAAGCCATAATCATAAAAACTACAAAAACAAAGGCTTGAAGTATTTCACTCTGTGTGTAATGAATCTATGCAACATATGAGCTTCACTTTCTGAAATGACTGACAAAAAAAAAAGAAAAAAAAAAGAACTTTTTCGCAATATTTAAATTTTTTGAGATGCACCTGTACTTTCGATGAGGTCATATCAACAGAACTCTTTAAACAGCAGAAGTCTCCTCCCTTTTGAACATTCCTGTATGATTCAGGCTCTCCTGTGAGACGCCACAGTCACTCATGAATGGAAAGTCAACCCTCTGTTCGATCCACTGAGCAACACAAAGCAGCTTTTTGTCCTCCAGGGCTGGACCTATGAGCTGTAAGCCAATTGGAAGGCCCCGTCTTGATAACGCAACTGGCACAGACACAGCGGGAAGACCTGATGTAAAAAAAAAAAAAAAGATGTGATGAAAAAGCTGATTAGCATGAGATAATTTAGTTTAACAAAATCTTAAACACTCATTTATCTTTAATAAATGGAGAGCTGACCACGTCAGTTATTATTACTGGGTGGTCACAATCTCAACTATGAAAAAGCATTTTTTTTTGGTTTGAAAAAAGGTTTCTTGTTCCAGGCTTGGGTGCTTATATGTAGTATGTGTGTGGCTTCATAAAGTACAACAAAGAAGGGTTTGAATCTTCCCACACTTCCTGGCTCAAATTTAAAGGCGTCTCTTTCTCTCTGCACCTGCTAAGTTAGCCGGCTGGGTGAAGACATCTTCCTGTGCGCTGCGGGTGCGATTGTCTTCCTGTGTGAAGTCGTGGTAACGAGCAGCATCAGTCAGCGTAGTGGGTGTCAGCAGCACGTCGACACCTGACGCAAACACCTGTCTGAAATCATCTGCGATTAGCCGACGCACTTTCTGGGCCTTTACAAAGTAGTGCTGGTAGTTCCTTGAAACAGAAATGTAAAATAGTGAACAGAAGCCCAGAGAACTGAGAGTAAAGAAAAGGTCAAATGGATTAAGTGACGTGTTCTTAAAGCAGCTTCATTATTACTGTTTGAGCAGGAAGTAGTTCCCAGACAGTATCCTCCCTCTGACCACATCGTTGAAGCCCTCATGTCGTGTCGAGGAGTACAAGACCTCAGTTGAGATGTCCGTCTTGCTCCGGTGGCCTGACAGACGAGACACCGCCCCAAAAACTATTATCCTTTTTGTTATAACGTGGCATTCAGGTATCTTTTGGGCATAAGCTCATTATTGCTCAAAACCCACTTTGAAGTTTTCTTTTTGTCAACATGCAGCTAAATATGTACCGTATTCCAGCCCGTCAAAGCGGGCCATGTTGGACGCCACCTCAGTGCAGCAAAGGACGTGGTAGCACACGATGGAGTGTTGGGTGTGTGGGAGGGAAACTCGCTCCACCCGGGCCCCGGCTCTCTCAAACAAATCTGCTACACGACTCCACTGCGCTAGAGTCTCCTCTGACAGGCCGGGGGCATGGTACTCCTGATAGATCATGAGAAACAAGCTGATTTAGACAACTCAGTGACCTTGTTTATGTATTCATATAGCACACAAACTATTTCAAGCTGCAAAAACACTTTTCATGATGGCATCAACTAAAACTATTTTTGACATTTTGTTAGAAAGAAAAGGTCTGGGTCAGAGGATCTGATTGTTTCCCGTTAATTTATCATAAAGGGACTTCAAACACTAGATTTCTGCTGTCCCATGTCACCCATTTTAGGTTTCTAAGCTTTGAAATCTCATTTTTTAAATCATGTGAGGCAGCTTTAGCTTTACAGTTTGATCATTCTAAAATAAAATCATATTATGCCGTTTAACTGTTTATAGCGTTTTGTACACAAAAGCAAATATGGAAAGCTCAAAACAGGATTATATTGTTGCAGTTGAAGCACTGTCTTTTCTAACCAAGTTCCTTTTCTTTTAAATTAATATCATAATGAAAAAAATATAAATATAGTTTGCCCTTTTCAAAACATAAACAAAAAAAGCCGTTTTCCCCAGAGCCATTTAGGCCCATCAGGGAAGACTTACAAGTTTTCAAAGCTTTTATATGCAGAAACGATTCTAAGAAAATAGACAGTGACAATTCAGTGACAAATAAGCCCACCCCACCAATTTTTTTTCTTTAATCCAACCATCTCAAATTTTGATTAAACTTGCATATTTGTTCAAATTTTAGGTAAATCGGACAAGTGGTTCCAGAGACACAGCCCCCCAAATGTTCAGATTTTTAGTAAAAGGGTGTAGTTGTTGATCTTCAACCCCAAAATCCCTGTTAAGAATTGGAAACCCAGACAGATTTAATAACTACCAGTATTAAAGGTAAATAATAACATCATACTAGTGTAACAATTTTAATGAGACACAGATTGAAAGAATAGCTAACAAACAGTTTATTACTATACATTTCACCACTTTTATTTGCTGGGCAGCTATGCTGAATTTTAAAGCTTATTCCAATCTCCAACTTCAAATGTGTTTATGCACGTCATTCCAGATGTTCTTTTACATGATCTGACTGCTCAGACCAGTTTTGGCATAAAGAGTAGGACCTGTTTATTCAGGAAATGGAAGGGGGATCATATTATTACAGCTAATAGGTGTGTAAAGACAATGTACACGAAAAGTAGAAGTATGAAAAGCCTCGGCCTTCGTTTACCTTAGGGATGCCTACACAGATGTTCCTGACATCAAAGTCTTCAGGAAGATCTGTAAGTGCTGCTGGAGCAGGAACTGTGGTTGAGTCTTTAATATCAAGGCCTTGGAGGACACCTATTTGACATATAAACACAGTCTCAGGTTACATTTACGCTATGATGGTAATCGTGTCACATTCGCAGCAACACGACAGGGCCATACTGTAAAAATGTTGAATATTTTTGCCATTTCCAAAAATAATGAGCATTTTAATGCACAAAGTGAAACAAGCAAAGGAAACTGACATAAATGTTTTAACTAAAGGAATTACTTATTTAATATTTGTTAGTGTTTAGGAGTTATTTTATAGCTAAATGGCTACTTAGACTGACTCTGTCGCTCAGTCAGTTTTTTTTTACTTTATAAAGTCATTACATTTCTGATAAAATATATCATATCCAAGTTTATTAGCTCACCGATGCCCAGCGGGGTAGCAATACACTCAAAAATTTACTTTATGCAAATAGTTTGTAATCATCTTAACAACACAGCAAATGTTTCTCACCTAAGACAGTGGCTACATCATTGACACTGCGTGCGATTATTCCAGGGACATCCATGGAATTGACCAAAGGGATGAGACCGTGCCTCGACAGGAGTCCATAAGAGGGCTTCAGTGCCACAACACCGCACAATGCTGCAGGATTACGAGTTGAACCACCTGTGTCTGAACCCAGAGCCCTGGCAGGTATTTACCAAAACATTTGTAAACCAGTTTGAATTCATCCATTTTGTTTTCGGTAAAGTGAAGTGAGCATTAATGTGTTCCCTCACAGGTAGCTGGTGAGTGAGGCCACAGCTGCAGCACTTCCACCAGAACTTCCTCCAGTAACGACCCAGTCAGAGTCAGGCGATGCCCCTGATTGTGCTCTGTAGGTAGAAGTGTAACTCCACGGGTTCCTGACTGGACCAAAAGTCCCATCGATACTGCCCGAACTGAAAGGAAAAACAAACACGATTGCACACATTGTCTATATTTATAAACTTGCAACAATTTGTAAAAGTAAACGAATGTACAGCCTCAGACCTGAAATCATTCTTACCCCATTGCAAACTCATCCATGTTTGTCTTCCCCATCAGAACCGCTCCTTGGTCCAGGAGTTTCTGTACCACTGTAGCATTGTATGGTGGAGTGTAATCTGTGAAACACAATAAGGCTGGATATGTTTTAACAGATTTTGACAGTAAATATAGGACAAACTAACCTTTAGACTCTGACCTTTAAGCATTTTAGAGGCACATGTAGTCTTAATATTCTCAGTGCAGAAATTGTCTTTAACTGCAAAGGGGATTCCATCCAGGGGACCTTTAGGGACACCTAAAGGAAGACAGTTACTAACGTTAACACCAATGACTCTGACACGAAGCTCATTCAGATACAGACGTATGTGTTTACACCTTGGCTTAGCCTGATTTCGGACTGTTGAGCCTGTTTTAGAGACAGCTCCTCTGTCACGGTGATAAAAGCGTTGAGATGCTGGGTTTTCTTTATGCGATTCAGACACTTTTTACAGAGTTCTGTAGGGGAGATTTTGCCCTCCCTGAATGCCAGGGACACCTGGAGAATGAGAACAAAACAATAATTAAGGAAACTGTTTTCACAAATAAACTAATCACTGCACTGTTGTACAGTACTGTATACCTATTTTACTAATTATTGTCTTGTTAATAGATAAATAATGTGAACAATTACTGATAAACATAAATCTACAATCTCATAAAACAGGATTTGAACATATATCATGAAATCCTAACAAAAATGTGGCTAAAGCAAATTAATAAATAGAACACAATTTCTAGAGGTTAATAAAAGAGCAGGGAATTAAATAAGGTGCTCAAATCTGCATAATAAATAAAGGCAATTACTGGTCTTTACTTCACTTAGTTTGTTAAATTATTGATTTTGAATGAGACTTGGACTTAGTTTTTAACACATTACCAATACACGTACACTTGTTTATACTGAACATTAAGGATTACAAGCAAAAAAGAATAAAAAAAAAATGTCCTAGCGAGAAATCATATATTTTTGCCTAAACTTTTCTTACAAAACGAATTAACGTGAAAAATATACATACACTGATTATAAACTGAAAAACAAGCAGTCGTACTAACCTCCTTCAACGTAAGGCTGAGCATCTTTGCTGATTTTTATTTTCTAGTCTGCCTTAAAACTAAAAGCAACCTTAGCAGTGTGCTACAAACAGAAGGCTGCCATATTTGCTGTTCTTGACCTCGTCAAACAAACTCGTCTGTGATTGGTCAGACGCTGAAGAACTAGCGCTCTGATTGGCGGAGATGCCTCGCACCGCTTAGGAGGACGTCTGTGTGTTACGGAAGGACAAGACATTGTTTTGAATGGTTGAAAACGTTTAAACAATTGCTTTTTTCTACACGAATAGCTAGACATGTTTTTTGATTGGACTAACATGTTTACGTTGAGAAAGCAAAGGTGGATATAAACGGACTTTAAAGAGTGCTTAGCTCGCTACACGTCTTCGAAAGTGAGTGACTGCTTGCTGTACTTATTTATTCCCACGCCCTTAGCCTCTTAAAATGAGTTCTGTCGGATGTTTTTTACCAAGAACGCTGCATCTTAGCAAATCACTATGCAAGCACACAGCTCCTTCCAGACATAAAAGTCAGAGAAGATTGATCCGTACCTCCAGCAGCTGCATGAACACCATGCCTGCATGGGTTATTGACACATATGGAGACAATGATGTTTTAAGGTTCACCCAAAACGCCAAGTTCCCTGTCATCCTCCGCCCCACTGAGGTCATTGTAAAGGTGTTTGCAGCTGGACTGAACCCAGTTGATGTCAGCATGAGAGGTGAGTTAAACTAAGGTTGCATCCAATGCATTTTAACCTGAAAAAAAATATATATATTTGCACGTTTTTCTTTAAAAAAAAGACAGAATCTGACTGTTACAAATGTTTTCTGTGGCTTGATTTTTTATGCATTGTGCCTCCCACCCATCCACAGCTTCTTGTCTCAGTGCTTTTGTATGATTTCTGAGGAAGTGGTGGGATATGGTTCTGACAGAGAGCAGCATGTGTGTGTTTTTTTTTTTTTTTTAGCCTGCTTAATGGAAATCTTTTACTGTAAACATAATGAACTTGTTTTTTTTTAATATCCCTATTTATAAAAATAGTTTTTGTCCCTGCAATATTAGTATTTTGTTGTATGGTAGTGTACACGAAGGAATGCCACAAGAAACAATACATTTGTAACTGAATACAAATATGAGTGTGCTCATAAACAGTAGGTTTGCTGTGTATCTATACTTTTAATTAGGGTGAAGTAAAGTATTTATGGCCATGTTATTATGACACTCCTCAGTAAGTGCATATATTAATCAGCTACTTAAAAATATCTACAAAAACATGAAACAGATAAACAGCAAAATGATTTGTGAGACAGACGAGGACTAAACTGATGAAGAGATATATTTGTAGTTTTTAAATCTAAACAGTCCTCTTTTTACATTTCTAAATGTGCTAGCAGTTCATCAGTTGGGTAACTTAAAGGCTCTCATCGATCTGTGCTGTCTTGCTTGTATTTACTCTTATATTACATGTGTGCAAATATCAGTTTGAAAAAACATATAGTCAAACGTAAACACATTTTAGAAGAATTAATAATTTCATAGAAAGCTTGTTCATCTGGTTGCATCCAAAATCAGGAACATTTAGAATTGTCATCTTGTTTCTGCAACTTTTGTAATTTTAACCGTTTTGGCCCTTAGACAGCTTCAGTGCCATTAAAGACATCAGATATGATCAGAAACTCCCCTCCCTTCAGGTGGCTATGGCGCTGCTACGCTGTCTATGAAGAGAGATCCTCTGAACATCAATCCATCAGGCAAAGAGTTTCCTCTCATTCTCGGAAGAGACTTGTCTGGAGTCATCATGGAGTGCGGCACGGATGTCATGTACTTCAAAGAGAAGGATGAGGTAAATAGCACTTAACAGCAGAGCTGAGTTTTATGCATGAAAGCAAAATTATTCCCTGCTGTGCTTGCTTAGTACTTACTGCAGGTAGGACACTGACTACTTGTAACTGCTCTATGCAACCTCAATTTAAGAAGGTATTCTTTTTAGACACATAATGTTGCAGTGCTGGTGATTTAGGGGTTTCAGATTCCAGAGGTGTGGTGTTAGCCAGAGCAAGCAGGTGTAACTATATTAAATAAAAGTGTTTTCTAGGTTGAACAGCTACACTGTATCAAAGCTCCTTGATTCACAGTTCACAAACCTTTGGCCACATGCTCCAATTCGTCATAATAATCTTTAAACGATAATTATACACCGTAATCTCAGTGTTATTTAAGGAAAAGGTGACGTAGTACCCATCTGCTACATATCTCTGCTCAAATAGAGCTTTTGAAGCTCATTAACATCTTGCAGCGGCCAACCAGGATTTTTTAAAGATTTTATATTAAACTCTTTGGAAACAAATTTCTTTACATTTTACTTGCAATTGTCTGTTTTTTTTTTTTTTAATTTTTTTTTTTTAAATTTAGTTGGCATGTTGTTTGTGGAAAATGAACTATTTGACATAAAACTAAACACAAACTGCAGCTTTAATATGCAATACAATAAATTAAAATGGTTTCTTTATCTGACATTGGATGTCACATTTTCAGATCAGTTTATCCTGCACATTACATCATGTTTATTTGCAAGCATGCTTGTATGAAAACAGATAATATCCAGGTATGTTTTAACCTGTCGTCATACCAGTCATTGTGAACTAACTGTACAGAAAATATATAATGAATAAATGAATGAATAAATAGAATGAATTTGTTTGTGTTGGTGTGTTTTTCCTTTAGGTGTGGGCAGCAATCTCGCCTTGGAAGCAGGGCAGCTTGGCAGAGTTTGTGGTGTTAAGTGGCAACGAGGTATTGCACATGTTTTTTTGGATTGATCATGATCTAGATGATTGAAAATCTTCACCAGCACATGAAGGTGAAGAAAGCATGCTCAATTCACAACTTATATTTTCTCAATGTTGTTTTGCTCAGATATCCCACAAACCCAAGTCACTGAGCCATGTAGAGGCAGCAGCCATCCCTTATGTGGCAAACACTGCCTGGTCAGCGCTGGTTAATACTGGAGGACTCAGTAAGGACAACTGTGCCAACAAACGGTGAGAAAGCACACATGAAAAACTTACTGCTGGTCTCCGTCTGCTATCTAAGTATTTCTTTTATTTTCTCTCTACAGGATTTTAATCATTGGAGGATCAGGAGGAGTAGGAACATTTGCAATACAGGTATGCATGATGATGACCAAGCTGTAATATAACATGGATAAAATAATGTAAACATTTAGGTACATTAAAAAAATCAGCCAGATTTCTAATTTAATCTCAAGGTTGCACCAAATAGGACATAATAAAATATTCTGGATATTACCAGGCAACAATCAAAAGAATATGGCAGATTAACAGTAACACATTTGCAGTGTCACTTCTTATTTAAAATTCAATTGAAGAGAAATAAAGATGGACGATTTTGTTTGAGTTGAGAAGGTATATAGTTGCAAAAAAATTGGGAGTATCTGTATAAAAGGTAAAAAAAAAAAGTTATTTTGAGGCTCTTGAACGTTCAAGTGTGCGTTTACAGAACGTAAAGGATAATATTCTTGCATCCACAAGCTGTTCAGTCATGAGGTGGACTTAGTTGTCGTTTGTTGTTGTTCTGAGATCATGTTTTGTTTGTCGTCTTCTTCACTTTACATATGTTGTACTTTACATAAAATAACCCAGGTAGGCTTTAAGCTTGTACACAGACACTCCCAGTTGAGGATGAAACTTGTGTCCAGATGGTGAAGGCTTGGGGAGCACATGTGACTGTTACCTGCTCCCACAATGCCGAGCGGCTTGTAAGGAAACTCGGGGCGGACCACGTGGTGGACTACACAGCTGGACCTGTTGAAGAGCCACTCAGCGCGCTGGAGAAGTAAGAGGATCACGTAAAGAGGAACAATTACAGCAGCAGCTTTAATCTGATTACATTGAGAATGCTTAGACCTCTGATATGATTTATTTTCTCTGCCTAATCAAGTCTCCATCCCTTTTTATTGCAATCAGTCTCAAACGGTTTCTCTCGGCTTGTGTCTCTTGTGCACTCAAAGATTTGACCTGATCCTGGACAACATAGGGGGAGACACAGAGCGATGGGCTCTCGGCCTGCTTAAACCTTGGACTGGAGCCAAATATGTCACCCTTGTAACACCTTTTGTGCAGAACACTGACATGTTTGGGGTACATGATGGCATGTTGAAGACAGCTGTTACAGTCGTCACCAAAGTCATCAAGGTAATTTATACATATATACAAACATACATATATATATATATATATGTATGTATATATATCGGATAAACTGTGAGGAAAAACTCTCTAAAAAAACGAAAAATGCTGCTGCAGATCTGGATAAATCCAGATAAAACACTGACTGCAACATCTCACCACAGACACACACTTTCTGCAGGGAGTGACTTCCTGCCAAACTTGTTTTGATTCGTTATGCGATCGTTAGATTTTTTTTTGTTGTTGTCTTTTTTATAGTTGGAGTGATAGATTCAACTGGCATTTTGGTGACAAAAAAAGTAAAAGAAACACATTAAAATGCTCAATATTTTGTGAAATAACAATTGTTGGGAGAATATTCTAGATCAGAGTTTCCAAAGCTGGTTTCAGAACCCCCTCGTGGGTCACGTAATGCCAAAATGATACATCAAACAAGTTGCTAATTGTGTATTTCTTATGTTGTTTGTGTTGTTAAAATGCCCCAGTTCAGTTGCATATTAGATATGTTCATGTACTGTTTTTAAAGATAACCGGGTCACAATTGTCTGAGTCATTTGTTTTGTGCAGAAACTGGAACCTCTGGGAACTCTTCTAGCTCCAAGCTGTATTACCGTCATCATGCAGCCACAACCGAATTACAAAGTGTAGTTCCTTTATGCTGCTAAATAAAAAATGAAACCATATTTTCAAGGTCGAGGATGACGTTTAAGCAGCGGGGTGAACAGGTGTAGCTGATCGAGTTTTGTCTTTGTTTCATTTTATCACAACAAACCACTCGGCTCCTTGTTTTTTTTTTTATTTTGCTGAGCAAAGGGTTGCTCTCGGTTAACTGCACTGATTGGTGACTTACTGCTAATAATGGTGTCATCTGTAATCTTGACAATAGTTTGCATGTCTTTTTTACAATTCTAATGATTCCAACCTAATTTTACTTTTTGTAAGTAAAAAGGAAACGGGATGGGAGGTAAAAGTGGTTAATGCCAGGAGGCCGTTGAAGGTTTTGGAAAGTTTTGCACAAGAGTTCTGCAAAAAATCAAAAACAAACATAAAAAACAACTTCAAATGCATTTTAAATGTTCACAATTTTACTAAAGTTTACTTAGTGTTTTATTCTTTTACGTCATTGCACTGTTATATTTGTAAGACTTTACAGGTAAAATGTTTTGTAAACTCAACCTAAACTACATAAATTATAGCAACATTATTTATATTTTAAGATTTTCCCAGTAGCTGTCCTGAGCCATCCACACAGCACTTTGAAGCTGTTAGATTTATTTGCATGATCATAACATTGTGTCGAACACTAATATTTCACGTCATAATGTGCTCTTATTGTGAAAGGGACAGAATATAAAAAGAGAAGATCATCGGTTGTAAGTCATTTGTTTTTCTGAGTTTGATGTTGGAAGACGTAAATAAAGCGAGACTCAAAATATTTTTTACATTGGTGACCCCCGACGTGATCCACTGTGGAAGTCGGCAGAAAGAGACGAAAAATATTTCGAGTCTCGCTTTATTTACGTCTTCCAACATCAAACTCAGAAAAACGAATGATTTACAACCGTTGATCTTCTCGTTTTATTTTCTGTCCCTTTCACAATAAGAGCACATTCTGACATGAAATATATACATTTGTGTCCGCCACATTTTATTTTGTAAAATAATAACCTGTTTCTTTGCTTAAAAACACTTTTTTCTCCCCATCAACAACACCCTTGATGAATCCTTAGAGACATCTCAAAATGTTGTTGCCTTTAGTTTTGACTTTAGGATTTTTAAAATGAGATGAATTTTACATTTTACAAACCTCTTCTCCTGATTTTAGAGGAAACTGACTGACTTCTGCATGCATAGATCCTTATTTCTGGATTTTGCAGAGCTAATTTCAGTATTGTGCAAACAAGTGTGGCCAGGAGTCCGGGACAGCTCCAGAGAAACCAGTTGTTTCGTTGTTTGCACTTCACTACAAAGCACCCCACAACTCTAAGGGGGATCCCAAAACCCACTTTGGGCACCTTGTTTGTGTCTTGTTGGGTGTAGAGTGTTCTCAACAGAATGCACCGCAGCAGTTTTGTTGTCATCACACACGCTTTCATTTTATTGAAACAACGCGTGAGTGTTGAGTCTGACTCCACCGAAGTCATTTTTCCTCATACTGATGCAGTTTTGCTGCTGATGACTGGACTTTTCTGTCAGTTAATCCTATTTAACTTTTTATTAGCTGCAGTTATCACAGCAGAATGACATTACCTCTAAGGAATGGCCATTTGTAAATGCCCCTACATAAAATCATGCACATTTAATTAATGCTTGCATTTGTAATACAGAAGAATTTTGGCTTGTCTGTGTTGACGAAGACGAGGTGATTATAATGACTCATTAAAACCCTTTTTGTTTCCTTGTAGCATTTAGTCAAAGGAGTTCACTACCGTTGGGGATTCTTTGTACCAAGCGGTCCAGCGCTGGATGAAATAAAAGAGATGGTGGATGCAGGACAGGTATGAGGCCACATTCATTTCTGAATCCAGTGTCTGAACACGTGTTCTCTCATTCAAACGTTCATCTGCATGTGGGGTTTCTCACATGGATTGTTTTGCTAATAACTGAGAGCATCCACATGAATATCTACTCTTGTAAAGTATAAAAATAGGAAAGCCAGAAACAGCTGTCTATGTGTCGGTGTGCTTCATGGTGACGTTAAGTGAAAGAAGAGACGTTGGGACAAATAATTTGGTGTTTCACACAGAACAGAAGCAGCTGCTGCTTTTAATGGAAAAAGCCGTTTTCATGTGTGATTTTTGGCTTCATGACCATGCAACCATATCAAGATATAAAAATGATAAGACTGTTACTATAGCTTCTATAAAGTTTGGCATAACAAAGTGCCCAGAAGCAGAAGTTAGTTATTTTAGATGGACTTGTTAAAAAGAAAAAAATAATCTTCCAAAGAAGTAAAGCAACAGTTGTATTTTTAATACGTATATGTGTATTTTTCATGTTACAAACTTGAGACGGTGCAGTCGATAAAAGAGGAGAAAGTTAAAAAGCTTTATTTGTTTTATTTATGACCGATGGCAGTTTTCATAATGCCCCTCACTACTTCACCACGTGCTCATCTGGACTTCAATTTCCAGAGAAACATTGCAGGTCTCACACAGTGGAAGTATTTTTTTTAACTGGTTAGTGATTTTAAAAGTCAAAAGTCGGTGAACTATCCTTATTCGCCAATAGGTGCAGTAACATATTAAATATAATCTGGAAAGCTTTCATTTCAGTGGTATGATTGTATTTTTCATGGTGCCTTTAATAGAAGCTTGTCAGCCCATTTTTGGTCCGGTTGACCTGTAGGTTGTGCAGCTTGTCTATTTGGACTGGTGTTTTTGTCATGACGGCCATATGACACTGGTCAACAGTTTGGAAGCATTATTCTTGTTTTGGGGATTTTTTTTTTACTGATGCACAGTTCACCAACTCTACAACTTTGACAGCCCCATGATAACACATTATTAAAGGAAATGACAACAGCAGCCTTCCTTGTGTTGCTGCAGTTTTCACTCATACAGAGAAAGCTGCATGACTTTTGCTCATCCGTTCTCCTTTTATTCTCTTTTCAGATCCGGGCTGTGGTGGAGGAGACGTTCAGCTTTTCTCAGGTTCCTCAGGCCTTTGAGAAGGTGGAGAAGGGTCACTCCCGAGGGAAGACAGTGATTGAAATCAACAAAGAGGACGCCTAATCTACAGCATGGACTTTTTTTTTTTTTTAAGAGTGCACTTTTTTTCCCCTGCACAATTAAAACAGCAACTCAAAATGAGGAACATGCAAAGAGCCAATTTGTTGCAACCACAACAGTAAACACAGCTACTAGTTATCAATTCTGCTACGTGAAGCATTTCTACATGGACATGTGTTCTCAAGCAGTACATACAATCATTTTAGGTTGATTTTTTGATAAGAAAATAAACAAACTTAAAAAAAATGTAACTAAGCATTGTGTTTTTAGAGCTTTTGTTAAATTGCTCTAGCCTGATCAGAATGTTGTAAACTTACAGAAAAGTTTGACATTTCAAGCATTTGTCTTTCTCATGTGTCAATGGGCAACCAAATGATGGATACTGATAAAAACACACAAAAGGGTGAAAATTACTTTTTATTATCTTGTCAGAGTAACATTTGCTCAACTATTTACAACCTGTAGAGGGCAGCATTGTTATTGCAGTTGTGTTTTTAAAATTTAAGATCAATCTGTACATGTAAGGCTTATGTACAGCTGAATGAAAAGCACAGTTTGTGTCAAAATTCAACGCTTGGCGAAATATCAAAACTTTACAATAGATCATTTTGATCTACTAAAATAAGACCTGCCAAACTTTCTGCTACACCTGTATTTGTGTTATTTACATTCCGATTGGTGTAATAAAGAGAAACCAGACGGTGGAACCTTGTCATAAAAAGTACCGTATTGTAAAGAAAGTATGCAGCATGAAACAGGGCAGAGTTTTCAATATATGTAGAAAACAAGAGTCTTTGGTATGAAGTGTTTGACATTGAAGTGACTAAAAGGCAACATTTTACATTATTCATTAGTTGTTTTTAAGAAAATTATATAAAATATTCCTCTGCAAGAGTAAACTAGTAAAAAAATGTCCATTGCAGAGCACATTTCTCATGTGAGCTCCTCAGTGGAGCTGCATCAAAGGGCTCAGTCTCCTGACAGAGGTGCATCATGGGAATCGCAAGGTATCGTAGCTTGGGCTGGTCCTCAGATCACAGGATTTCCAAAGTCCACCTCTGACTCAGTTTGTGTTCATCAAACGTGTTGAGGATCACCTGGTTCTTGTCAAACTGATGACCACCTGAAGGACACGTGAAAATAGAGATACAATATATTTAATAATGATTAAATATGTTTTATGTGCAGCACAGGTTCACAAAATCACATTGAAGTGTTTCACCGCTGCAGTGGTTTGAATTCCAAATAAAAGAAAATAAACAGCTGTTCACCGGCAGCAGCAGATATTTTATACTACAGTTCTGCAGTAAACCATTTTTTTTTATTTTTATGATGCATGAATAAAACACAAGACAGCAGTTGTATTAAACATAATCTAAATTACTGATTGAAACATGGTGACAAACTTTGAACTAACTTTGAAACAAAGTTATGGTCAATATTTTTTGATTACTTTGAGAAAAAACAATCCAAAAGAATTTGAAGCAAAAACTGAAATTCTTGCAAACTTCAGTTTTATTTATTTTAGCACAGGGGTCTGCAACCTGCGGCTCTGGAGCCACATTTCAGTTTCTTTATTTCATAAAGGGACAATGCATATTAATCAACATGAATACATCACATAAATATGCCAGATTTAGCCAAAGAGGCTAATTTTAATCTGTAGTCCCCTAGCAGGTTGATGTAAGAGATTTAAAAAAATACAATTGGCATACATAGCAACTTACATGACCTATAAGTTATGACAATTTCAAATATAGCTAAAAGTAGTGTCATTTACAGTAAACATTTACTGTATATAAAGAAATTAAAACAAGTCACTAAAGGGGAAAAAGGAAGGAAAAAGGAACAAGTAAAAATTTGATTTAAGAATTATTAAAAACATGAGCACAATTTTGATTGTCTAGTAACCATTGCTTAAATGATTTCCTAAAATATTTTAATGATGTAATGTTTCTTAGTTCTAATCGTAGTTTATTCCAAGAATTTGGAGCCCGAACAGAAAATGATAACTGACTGAAATAACTTTTTCTAAATGGTATTTTACAGTCTCCCTACTAACTGCTCTTGTAGTTACTGTATGTTTGGTTATAAATGTAATTGGACAAAGTATTTTATCGGTGGTGGAGCCAAACCACGAAGGACTTTATGTACAAGTATGGCATCTGAATACATGATCATGTTTTCCCAACTCAAAAAGTCATACTAATGTAATATTTTACTGTACAATGATGATAATGTGGCTCTTTCAAGCTTTGGCCAAAACTACCATAAAACGTAATGTTACTGGTTGTTATACAAACAACAAAAGACTAGTTTTAGCACTTTGTCATTTATTTTGCAAATATGTGGATACTGGAACTAGTACAAGGAGTAAAACATACTTTAACTGTATTTCTATACTTAATTTTTTTCCACAATAAAAAAAAAAAATTCACATAGGTCTGCATAGTTCTTAGTTTTATTTATTTATTTGTTTGATTTAAAAAACTACCCCACCCCCCACCCCACAAGAATCTGGTATTTTCATTTGTTTGTTTCATTTATTTTCATTTGTCATTACATATTTTTATGGCCACAAAAGCCCCCTCCAACAAGCCTAAAGTGGCCCGTGGGCCACCAGTTGATAATCACAGTTGTAGCAGGTTGTTGCGGCTCTCAACACGTTTAGTGAACGAAGGTGTAAAAATTGCTCTTTTGACCATAAAGTTTGCAGCCCCCTGCTTTAGCATCAAACACACTGTTTCATCAACGCTGCTGTTGCAAGCTCATTTCTTTTTCTTCTACCGCTTGGAAACGAGTCATTAAAGACGTAGATGAAGTCAAGACAGATTAGTCTCACCTTTGACTTCCAGGATCAAGTCAGGGTTGAGGGAGCAGCGCACCAGACCCTCCTGGGTGATGCTCCACAGCTGGTTATCTTTGCCTTGCTCGGGGGAGACACACAGTCGACTTCCCGACATCAACACGTCACCTGCTGTCTCCAGGAAACAGTCCTCCAACAGCTGGAGACCAAAAGAACATGGATTAAGATTAAGATGTAATCTAACAAAAGCCAACAGGTGGATTTACAATACAAGTTATTAATCTATATCAAAATAAAAGCTGCACCTTAGTAACATCTTGAGTCCCTATGTAATGGCTGATTGATGAACTTCTACAATAATAAGTCAAATAGCTTTTGAAAGACCTTTAAGAAGCAACAAGCTCCTTACTGGAACATGAACTTTTGTGGAGATCTTATTTATTGGATGAAAGTGAGTTGATGTGAAACCTGACTGATCCACATAAAGTAGTTTACCTTGCAGGTGATTAGTCCGTTCCGATAGAGCCAGATCTGCTCTTCTCCTCCCGTCTCATCCACGGCCTGAACCCTCATCAGTTTGATGTCGTCTATTGTTCCCGTCAAAGAGATCAGACATCCCGTCTCTTTGTTGTGCAGACGGAAGTACATCGGTTTCTGCTGAAGAGAAACAGGAAAATAAGAGTTCTTTTTATGGCCATCATTGTTAGAACAACCATCTAAATGACATAAAGGTAACAGAGTTTTAATGATTTTACACAGAAAATGAAGATGTACCTTTATGTGTTTAGTCTTTTGTACATAAGTATATTTAGATTTTAGTTAGTATTCGATGAATTTGCTCATATTTGATATTTTTTTTAAATGAGCAAAGGGTTCTTTATTATAAATGTATTTGTTCTCTTTTTTTGTTTGTTTGCTGTATTCAGTTTGTATAAAAGTGCTGTACAAATAAAGTCCATTAGTTTAGTATTTTTTTATGCTTTTCAACTGAAAAATACAAATTTCTTAAAAATGCTACTTTTGTTTTCATACCTGCATTAATGGACGAAGGGACCCTATTTGTTGCCACCCGATATATTTGCACATATCACCCACTTCTCCTGGTTGGACAAGTAGCTGTCGACCTCTGTAGTTATTACCTTCATACAACACCCACCTGCAGAAAGTATTGCATCAGTTTAATTTGTATACCAAATTAAATATTTAAATATAAAATAAATATATGTATAAAACATGTGCATTAACCTTAACTTGGAAAAAATAAAAACAGGAAATTGTAACAGTCCAAACATGAATTCCAGTTGTTTTTATACATTGTTTGGCTTCAGTGATGTTCTCACATCATGTATAGGTTTAATGCTCTTTTCTATTTCAAAAATTTAAATGGTCATAATAATTTAGGGGAAATTTATGAGTCCATGATAGGAAAACAACACAGTTTTAATGAAATTAATTGGTCAAAAGTTGGGTTTGCTAAAAATTATTGAATTTTTCTCGTATACCAATTATTGTGTTTCTACAGCTAAATAACAGACTTTACATTTATTTATGAAATATTCTATTTAAAGGTTTGTGACAGTTACGTACATCCCTCCATCCACCACCAGGGAGCGGATGTGGGCATTCATTCCTGCCTTCAGCTGGTTAATAGCTCCTCCATTCAACACAGTCCTGCGACCTCTGCAGCCCACTTTACTGAACAAGGTGATGGAGGGCAGGGAGAACTCCTGGGGAAAAAAACAAAAAACATCATATGTACCATTTAAAAAACAGACAGACTTTGCAATCTGGCTATCCAGATTATGACTCTAAATACTCACAAATCCGGTAATCTGCACAGATCGAATGTTGGAGTCTGACGATAGGAGACCCATGGCCTCAGTGTTGGGGTACCATCCTTCCTCGAGGACGTACATGTTCTCTGTAAACTGGGCTCCCTCGTACGCCACCCAGCTGACACGCAAGGATACATGTTAATGTTTGATTTTGAACTAAAGTTATTTTCTAAACAGACTTACGGTGTGATGAAACTTGTGAAATTGTATACCACTACATAAAATATGTGAATACATATTTTACAACTGCAGCAACTTCACGTTTTATTAGTGAAGCAGCTGTATTAGATTTTCAAGTCAGGGCTTAAAAGGTTTCTCCGGCTTTCCAAAATCTTTTTTCATTGTGGAAATTCTGAAAGCCCGACATCAATAAACTGAAATCTAACTTTAAATTTAAAGGCTCAATGTGTAAAAAAAAAAACACATCTAGGAGCACAACAGATGTACAGCAACAAAATGAATGCCTCTGAACTATTTTGGTTGCAAAACGTGAAAAATAAACAGTTTTGTTTGCCTCCTTTGGACTAAACGGTTAACAACGAATAATAAGTGTTGTAACTTTTAGGACCACACTGGAGCTTTACAATAAACAATATATTTTAACACCTAATGTGTCTGACCTCTTCTTTCAGTCACTCTTACCTGCCGGCCAGAACTTTGCAAGATCTGGGAGTGAAGTCGTGATCCAGAAGTGCAGCGCTGTCTTCCAGGACCAGCACCTTTCCTTGAAAGTCTGGTTCAGAGTACAGCTGGGCCTGTAACACACATCCAACCAGCCTTAGATCGGAACCCAAGTATTTATTTTAAGAGTTATGAATTAAGAGATGATACCTTAAACTTTCTTGTTCCCGACAGCATATCCTACACACATAGATGGGAAGTGTTAGCAATGATTCTTTTAAACACCGTATGTGAAAAACTCATTTATAGCCGTAACAGCTGAGCAGATCCTTACATGGAGAACAGGCTGTATGGACGAGATCTTGAAGTTCTGTGCTCCCCAGTCCTCAGGGTTCGAGTACATGCCTCTCTCCAGAACATAGAGCTCTCCACTGAACCCAGGGTGTTCAAATGCCACCCAGCTGCAAAGTACATAAACATAAAACACTACTGACATGGTGTTCATAAAGATATCTTTATGTTGTAGTTACTCTTTCAAAGTTCATGGTCTGATGTTGCGTTCACTTATTTTCAGTGAATACAAGTACTTCAGAATCAGGATCTGTATGAACTGCTCGTGTTTGTTTGATTGTTTGAGTTCTAGGAGTGAGATTAGATGAGTGTTAGCTTTGGAGACTGTAAGGGGAGTTTTGAAAAGGTGAGGCTGGAATGTGAGCCTTGCTGATCTGATTGGTGCTCTGTCTTCAACTACAAAGCTAACACCATAAAAACAGGAAGTTTATTTTTCAAGAAGTTGTAAAGCAAAAAGGTGGAGTCGATTTGAAGCAAAGAATGAAATCCAAGCTTAAACAAAAGTGATAATGCGCTATATAACTATATATTAAGACTTTTATTGGAGCAGTCTCAAAAAAGATACGACTTTTCTCTAGACAGCTACTGTACTTGAACGGGCTTTTGATGGAAAATAAGTGTATTTTTAGTTTATGTCTCTTTCTTAGTTCATATCTTAGATGTTATTACTGTTTTTCTTTTACATTTTATTGTTGGATATAACTGGGACCCTGGGTACACAATCTCGTTCCACCACATGTGGTGCGAATGACAATAAAGAAACTCTGACTCTCTTAAAGAGCAGCATGTCATGATCTCAGCTCTCTGCCACGCCCACTTCTCCACTGCAATCGCTAGCAGGTGGCAGAGAGCGGAGATCATGACACGCTGCAGGAGGGAGCTTCTCCCCGCACCTGTGGGCTGCACACAGGTGCAGCAGGTATTATATCATTCAAATCAATTTATTTTAAATAAACAATCCATGCCGCTTCTGCAGTTCATCCATCCATCAGCCAATTGTGTGTCATGTCCAATCTTACTTTGAAAAACGAGTCGAATCGTAAAGTAGCGAGGGATTACTGTAATGCTAAAAAAAATTGCAAAATGCAACCAAATTGTGCTTCAAGAGAATGTTTGTCTCAAATATATATCTCAGCCATGCAAAACTATTTTATTGATATGCTGTCTGTTATAGCAGAATCTTGTTGCCAATTCCTACATGTGTCCAGTTAACCACTGTTTTTTGTCTGTCCAAACAGGTCTCACTTGTAAATGAGTCTTCGAGACTCAATGTGATTTATCTGTTTAAATAAAGGTTGAATGAAAAAAATTCACAAAATTATCAAAAAGGTCAAATATATTTTCATGTATTGTTTATTAAAAAAATATCTGCCTTCAAAGGATGGATTATCTGGTTATGTTTTGATCGAACCTGGCATTTGAGTTACACAAGAAGATTTGTGTGTGTAGTTAATCCATTATTCATCCTCTGAGCTTTTGTGAGGGCACTTGTGTACAGGTGTGCGTTTGTGTGAAAAGTGACATAACACTTAGTCACGCCTGTTAGGTAAGAAGTACACCCAACAGCTTCGTGACACGTGGGAAAACATTAAGTGACGTAGCTTAACTTCAACAGAAATTGTTGACTTACACTCCCCCCGTGACATTAACGGACTGGGTTTTGCAGCTGTGGTTGACGTCTTCCATGTTCAGAACATGACCCATCAAATCAACTTTGATGCCCCGCTCATTTAAGTTTGGCTCGCTGAACAGTCTGAGGTGGGGGGACTGGAAATCCTGTGAAAAACAACATGAATGTGAAAGGTAAGTTAACTTATTAAATATATTTTACCTAAATCAGTCTCTAATTATAAAAATGATTCTTTCAGGAAACGCTTACCCCGACTACAGGTCTCAGTGATAGAAGCCCATCCTCAGAGCCCCCCCACTCACTGCAGTTAGGATACTCCCCTTCCTCCAGGATGTACTGCTGGCCTTCAAAGTCTGCTTCCTGATAGCCCACCCAGCTTTACAAACAAAGCAAAAGCACATGAAAAAAACTTTTCATCATTCAAGTTTCAGCCTCTTTACTTGCTGCTGCCTGTTTTACCAAGGATTTTCAGCGATGCCGGTGATCACCAACATCTGCTTGTTCAGTTACTTACAGCCCGCCAAGGATCTTCATTGAGCCAACTGTGGAAAGTGTTGTTTTCTTTACATCTGTTCCTCTTTCTTCCTGCTCCAGCAAGTTGTAGACGTCGTTGTCCAGCTCCAAACACTCTCCTTCAAAGTTGGGGTTCTCAAACACAAGAGCCTGGATAGAAGGAAATCAGTAATGAGTAAAATGGGTGTTCTAGTGTGAAATGTGTCTGAGTTGTTTCATTTTGGCCCATTCTTGTCTGAACGTAGGACACTATTCTTTCTACATATTCAAGCTATCTTTCAGCTGTCCATCATTAAGGTGTTACAAAGTACAGTCTGCAGGTTGAGAGCTGTCAGCATACCAAATACAAGACAGTGCTTTGGCATGATACTTACTTCTGTTTTTCAGTGGAAAGGTGTTTAAAAACAACTATGATAAAAAAAATTTAAAAAAAGCTTAGAGTAATTGGTAATATTTTACCAGCCATGTGAAAAGATTTTCATGAGATGAAAACATTCTGGAACAAACATGACTTATTATTTGTATGATAAAAGCTTTAAACAGACAAATCTGCAGCAACCAAGACGTAGGGGGTTAAACGTGGCCTGGTTGGGTTTAACTTTAGACTAATTTGAATTTGGATGTGAGCAACAGACCTTATTTCAGTGTTGGATTTAGTTGTAATTTAGTCATAAATATATGTATGTTGTGCTTGTGCTTTGACAAAAAATGTTAGTGAAACTAATGAGAAGTAGTTCAAGTCCATATTCTTGCAATTTACTAATTTGTCCCCCCCAAAAAATTGAGAAACGAAAGGCTAAAAATAAGAGTTAAATTCATGGTTGAACATTATTGGATTGTATCTCGAGAGCCCTTGAATAATAAAAACAAACATGTTTTAGATTAGTTATGGGATATTAACTAGTATGGGTTTTGTAACCCTTGTTGAGCATCAGCAAATCCTTTAAATTTGCAGTCAAAACCTTCACAGGGATCTATTTTTTCACGTCTACCAAACAATTTCTCCTTCGTCTTCCATGTCACACTTTTTTTTTTTCAACAAATAGCAGTTTCCCCAACTTTCTTAAATTGAGCAAAGCCACCAATTCAACATTTCTGTGCAAAAGATATACATATTTAAAGTAGCACAGACCTTAACGTCAGTTGGATGCTCTACCCTTATGGCTCCCTGGAATGAAAACACGCGTTGTCAGACCAAATCAACCGATTAACATCACTGAAAACACGTAGACCAGCATACCATTCGGAGAGGCCTGAGTGAGCCGATGAAGGGTTCAGGGAAACCCCAGCTCTCTGGACAGGGATACTCCCCAACCTCCAGAACTCCAAGTAATCCATCAAAGCCTGGATCAGAAAACACCAGCCACCTGAAAACAGACATCCAACATATCAGACAGGATGACAAGAAAAAAGACGAGGGGGAAGATAAGCAGGGAGCTTGATTTTACATTATTATTAAAGTACAGAACAACAAATGATAGGACATACAAGAACCTTTTCCACTCTTTAAACCATTAAAAAAAGTAAGTGCTAACATCTGTAATTTAGAGCAGCTAAAACTGTGACAACCACAAGCTCCAGCCTGTCGTTTGCATTCCTTCACAGAGACTTTTTCATTAATCCCAGTGAGGTTTTTACATCTGCAAGCTTTTCAACAGTTATCATAGTTACCACCATTACTGAAAGTAGCGCATACCCATAAGGCAAAACTCAATAGGTTTTCCTGTGTGCATAATAGGTCATGTGGACAAAATATTTTAGGGTTGATTCTGTCAGCCCCTTTATACTGAGTTAGAAAATCTCCACACAGGCTCACATGAAAAAAATGCTGGAGAATTTCACACTGAGAAATGCGGTAAAGAATTAAGCCTGTGTGCTCATGTCTAATATACGTAACACAAAAAAGTTTATATGTATTCATTAGCCACTTCCTTTTTTGCCCTTTGCCCTATTTCCTGTTTGCTTTCCTTGGCAGTATTTCCACATGAAACAAACAAACAAAAAAAAACATCTGTAGCATCTGTAATCTGCTGCTGTAAAGGTTTTGATCGAACAACTAGTTGTGTAGAAATCCTCTGGTGCACATGCATCTTTACTGTCATCTAGACTTACACTCCAGATTGAACTTTGATGGAGCCTGTGGTCGGTGGGATCCCGTAGGAGTCTAGCTCTATGGTGTCATCACAGTAAGATGACATCCTCCCCATCCCATTCACCTCCGCAAACAGGTCAATTCTGGGGACGCTGTAATCCTACGGAACATTAAAAAAATAAAATAAAAAAATATGGGAGTTCAACCATTTAAATTAAAAGTAAAATCATACATCGCCAATTCACAACAATAGTCCTCAGGGAACTTAATAATTTGAGTCTAAATAAGTGCAATTAACGTCAATCTAAATATCATTCAGTCCTAAATAATTTAGTACAAATTAGTTAAAGCAAACAGTCAAATCATAAAATTATTATTTTGATGAGACTTCTTTATTTTATTAATTGCATTTATACATAAAAATGTATACATCTATGATTTATGATTACAGAGTTTATACAAATACATCTGTGCCTTTCTGTGTGTGAAAGTCTTATGCAGAAAGATAAACAGAGGGGTTTCTGAAATAAGATAGAGCTTACTCAAATTCAGTGATTTATATATCAATTTTACAAATGCAAACACATTTGCAATAACATAGCCTGTATTGGTTATTAGTAAACTATGAATAATTTACTTAATTTATTGATCCTAAGCAACAAGAATTCATAATACATCATTTTACATGCTATAAATTATATTTACCTGTACTTATCCACAAGCTAGGCATTAAAATAATTCCAGCCATTTCAAATTCTGAATCAATTTAAATTAAAACAAATAAGAATATTTTAATCTACATTTTATAAAGCAAAACTGTCACAACAAATTAAGATATTAAATAAACCATGCACAAACTAAACTTGCAAATTATTTAGAAAAAAAGCTCATGAAAGGCTTAGTATAAATCCAAGCTTGGAGTGCTGTGGAGGTGTCTGTTTTTAGATGAGATCTCCCAGCCCTGATTAAAATTATGCCTATTGTGAAAGCAAAATTTTTGTAGCAAGCTAAATAGTCTAGAAGCCCAGGAGACTGAAAAATGTGTTAAAAACAGAATAACTTACTCTGACTGCTAGTCGAAGAGAACCTATGACCAGTGGTGCTGTAGGAATGGGCTGACCCATCTCATTCACAGTCTCTGGAGTTCCCTCCTCTGCCCAAATGTTCACTATCTGCTCTGATGGACCTTCCTCGAGGGCGATGATACGGCCCTGGAAGCCAGGCTTTTCATAAAGAAGCCAGCTGAAAATAAATGGAATGATAGCACATCATAAAAACAATATTTGTTTTTTTTTCCAATATTATAAATGAAGTAGTAGCTGTAGGAAAAACAATCTCATTATTTGCATTGATTTTACATGTTTTCTACACTGATCTGTAAAGCCCGACTGATATACCAAGAGCAAATAATTTAGGCCAATATAGACATTTGGGGACCTTTCGGTATTGGCGATAATTGTCCCATTATGCGCCAATATAAGCACTTCTAATTTTCATACCTAAAATGGTGGGAACAAGTCGTAATTGTACAAGGTATCCAGCAGAGTTCGCATGAAGACTACTTTCAAGTCATTGTTGTTCACTTAAGTTTCACTTTCAAGTTCAGCACAGACAAAGCAGGGAGAAATACTGTGTAGTGTACATTGCTGAACAGAGAATGATAAGTTTATTTGAACTGATCTGTAAAAAAAAAAAAAATCAACAATAATAAATTATCTTCAACCCTCCAACCCACTTGTCATTAGCTATGTGCCTCTCATATTAGCAAGCTAACATTTAGATAATCTAGCATAGGCTATTGCCTTGTAAAAATTTATCCAGAACAATAAATCTAATGTAGCAATAAATATATATCAGCGTTAGTAACATTATCTTTGTCATACTCAATGTAATGTATTGTTTGTCTGAAAACTTAACTTCTCTGCAAAGAAAAAAAAAAAAACCTCTGGTGCAGTCAATACTAATTAGGCCTTCACCGTACGTGACTGATGTTTAAACAATGAACAGGGAAGGGCGTTTCTTTAATTAATTTATATTTATGTAACACATTGGTTAACTTTATGGTGAATGGTGGAGGATAGAAAATGCTGTTTTTATGACCATTGCACCACTTGTAAACCTACTGTGGGACGTATAGCATGGATCCGATTCACTTAGCTTCATGGTTGCTAACAGCCACGTTAAATAAACAAGCCGCGCTCCACTCGCAGTTTTCTTAGATTCTTGGGGGTGGACAAAGCAAAAAAAATTCAGCCATTATGTCAGTTATTGGCGGCCATCTTCCCCTCCCAATATTGGTATCGGTGAGAGCCAAAATTTCCATATCGGTCAGGCTCTACTGATTTGTGTCCTCTGCCAAAATATTTGCAGACATGAGCATTTTTTAAATTACTGCTAAATAAGACCAGGAAAAATTCAAACCATCCTCGGACGACTTTGACTGATATTACAGGAGACAGCTTCATCTGTGAGGAATCCTCCACATCACCGTAAATCTCATACGACTCCCCGCCAAATTGAGCATGTTCATGTAAGACAATCTGCAACAACAAACAGTTATCAGAGCAGTCTGTTACAGCAGGAAAATGCAACTGGGATGAAAAGTGTGATCAGAAATACGCCTTTACCTTTCCAGGTCTTTTGTGGAACCCTCTCACAACAGGCGTCTGCAAGACCATGAGACCATTTTAATCATTACAGTATTTCTGAAGCATACTATTATTTTAATGAAGCACCATGAGAAGTTGGTTTTAGTTCAGTCAGTTTTAGCATATTTTTGTCATTTTGATTAACTTTCAATCATTTTGATAAACCAAGTACCACAACTTCAATATTTCAACTACTTCCCTTAAGTTTGGGTATTTGCATTTTCATTATTTTGCTTTCAATTACCAGACAATGTGAGTATATAATATTATTAAAATAAATATAATAATATTTAACTTTAGTTTGGGACATTATTTAAAAAATGTGTGAATTCTCCTGTGAAAAGTGCTAATAAATTGTATTTTTTGTTCTCCTTCATAAAGTATGCCTTTTTGTGTTGCATGTGTCCTTTGTTCCTGTACACCATGATTGTTTGAATAGCTTTGTCTTATTTGCCTGCTCAAATACCTTGCTCCAAATGAGCAAACATGCTATTGGAAAACATTTCCTGTGCAAAAAAAATCCACACTGAAAACACATTCATCTCTCCTGTTTGTGCTTGCAGATGATTCATAACTTGGCTAGAAAAGTAACACACACACAAAAAAAAATACAGTTTTCAAATTGGGGCACGTGCCGCCTTGACAATATACTTGGAAAAAAAGTGTGCTTTGGTGCAATGCTTTGCAAGTTGAAACAACTCTGAGAACCATTTTCCACACCTATAGCTCTATGTTCTAATACAGATTAGTAAGCTGAAGTAAAATGAAGGGGTTAGTATTGAAATAATGGCCTACCTTAGTTTTGGAAGTAGAAAGTCCATTTTGAGAGACTTGCTGGCTGTAGTTTGTGGTTGAATTCAATCCTCTTGCTTTGTTCTGTGCCACATCCACAGCAGACAGATCTGCTACTGACTTCAGTTCTTTTTGGGCCATACCCACAATGGATCGATCTGTTGCTGACTTCTGTTCCTTTTGGACCACATCCACAATAGCTAGATCTGCTACTGACTTCAGTTCTTTTTGGGCCATATCCACAATGGATCGATCTGTTGCTGACTTATGTTCCTTTTGGGCCACATCCATGATAAACAGATCTGTTACTGACTTCTGTTCCTTTCCGGTCAGATCCACATGAGAAATATCCATTACTGACTTTTGTTCCATAGCTGCAGATTTTAGCTTAGTTTGTGTAGAGTCCTTAGGTCTCTCTACTTCTTCTTTGTCCTTTGTAAGGTATTTCTGTAAATGATCAGGCAGCTTTGTCTCTGAGAGTGTAGGCAAAGAAGGAGGAGAGGAGGGGCTAATTGCTGACTCACTGACTGTGACTGTCTCACCGCCCATAACTGAGCCTTGATCTGTACCAGTCACACCTCCGTTATCAGCTGTGGCAGCAGGAAGAGGTAAGTCAATAAGCCCCACCTGTCCAAGAGAGGGCATGCCTTGCTGCAGGTTAGAAGATACTTTAGTATTTGAGACAGAGGTAACTCCCTCTCTTGTCTTTCTGGAGGTCCGAGGAGAGCTTAACAAACCAGAGAGAATTGTCATCCTTTCAAGTCTTGATGTAATTTTTCCAGGCTCATTGTTTTGTCCCTCTACTCTTCCTGCTTCAGCTTGGTTCTCCTCTTTGACTACATTTTGTTTGTCTACCTTAACAGTTTCTATTTGGTATGTTGAGGTGCCATTCTCTTGAGAATGTTTTTCCAGGTTTTGCTCTTCCCTTGCCGCTGCTTTTTGTTTAATCACCATTGCTGGAGAAAGATCCATTTTTTTGCCATTTTTTCTTAAGCCAAATTGAAATTCCTTTGGATCAAATGCCCGCTCAAAATGGTCCTCCTTGATGGCTGGCATGACAAAAGGTAGACACGGGGGCTTCTTGCGAACACGCTTCTTTGGCGGAATTGAAAAAGGAATTCCTCCTTTCTTAACAATCTTAAGGAAATCATTAATGTCATCAGGCTCAAGAGATTCCTCTTTGCTTGTTGATGCATTTGTTCTGTTTTTACTTTCCTTATTTTTTTTCTGATGGTGCTCCACATCTAACCAGGAAGATGGAGATTCCGTGTTTAACGGAAAACCTTGAGGTTGAGAAGATGGTTTCAATGGAACAGAAAGAGACAAAATCTTGTCAGATATTGGTATCTTTTTTGTCTCTTGTAGAATTTGTTTCAAACCTTGATCTGCAGAAGTCACTGAAGCTAGCTTATGATCTTGTGTATATTCTTTAAAGTTTTTATCACACTTCGGAGCATTACTGCTAAAGAAAACTTCATCTGAATTGAGAGAGAGAGTTTCTTTTTGGTTTGCAACAATGTTTGTGTGTGATATGTTTTGTACAGAAATGGATTCCGGCTTTTTCTTTAGATCTACCTTTGACGCCTTTAACAGCTGATCCTTGTCAATCACATGAGTTTCAAGTTCAGTTCCGATTTTAATCTGGCTTTTTGGTGTCTGTTCCTTGTCAGTCATATTAGCAGTGACTAATTCAGCATTGTTGGTTTTCTTCTCTTGAACGTCTGTTACTAAAGTCTTTGCCTCATCTTCTTGTTTGACAGCAAGAGCTTTAAAATCAGTGTCTCCTGCTAGAGTTCCAATAACCACATTATCTTTTACAGTTAACATTTTCTGGGTTTTTTGGGTGTTAATATCAGATTTTTGAATTACATCATTCACCAAATTTTCTACTGACGAGTCTTTGACTTCTGAGTTCTCTTTAACCTCCTCGACACTTTGAACTGTGGCACCTCGAATGTGTAGTTCTTGAATTTGGGTCTTTAGTGTTTCTTTTGGAGTTTCTGTTCTTACAGTTTCTGGTTTCTCTTTCAAGTCCGTATTTGGGTATTTAGGTTTTGCCATATTGTTTTGGTCTGGTTTTGTTATGTTTGCAGTAGTATTGAAACTCTGGACCTGCTCTGTGGCCCCTGTCTCATTAGCCAAAAACATGATAGATGAGTCCCTGGCTTCAGGTATTTCTTTTGGACCTTCAGTGGAAGTACTTATGGCGCTAAAGCTTTGAATTCCATCCACAGTCTGCATCTTTGTTGTTTTCTCTTTAACATCAGCCTGTAGTTCTTGCTCTGATGTTTGATTTTGACATTCAGACTTTGCTGATGTGTCTTGGTCCAATTTTATAGTGTATGTATCTTGGTCTCTGGAAAGTTTGGACTTTGAATTTTGAATGATTTCAACATCGCTAAAAGTGTTTGCTATTGTCACCACAGTCAACAAACTCTCTCCCGATGTGTTCCCTGTTTTAGAGTAGTCATTGGCTCCTTCAGCACTCTGACCTATGGTGATAGTAGTTTTTTGCTCATGATTTGGGCTCTTTGTTGTTTCCTCTGGGTATTCTTTTCTCACAGTTTCCAGTTTATGTGTCAGGTCAGTAGCTGATTTAGATTCTTGATTTGGTTTAATTGTGACCACATCTTGTTCTTCTAAAGTTTTGGACTTATTTACCTGTTGGTTGATTACCTCACTAAAATAACCTGTTTTCTCAGTCATTAAACTCTCTAAAGAAGAATCCACAACTTGAGTATTTTCCTCTGTGCCTTCAGTATTAATATATGAAGAGTTAAAATCTTGAGGTGCATTCACCCAGTGTCTTTCTTTTGTCCTCTCTTGAACATCGATTTTCACAGTTTCTGATTTGTTTTGTTCTGGTTTTGTTAGGTTCCTTTCTTGATCTCTGGGAATCATGGGCTTTGTGTCTTGCTGAATTTCAAGTTCACTAGTTGGATTAACAATTCCTGACTCCTTTACCAAACTTTCCACTGATGCATTTTTTGTTTTAGAGATGTCTTTAACTTGTTCAGCCCCCTGATTTACAGTGGCTGCAATTTTAATCTCTTGAGTTTGACTCCCTTTTTTTTCTTCTAGATTTTCCACTCCTACAGTTTCTAAATTTAGTTTTACGTCTGTATTTGAAGTTGTAGATTCTTGAACAGGTTTCACGATCTCTGCTTCTTGGTGGTCATCGGTTTTGAACTTGCGGATCTCTTCATTGGTACCCTTACAAATATGAGCAATTTTTGCTGTTTCATTCAACAAACTCTCTAAAGATGAATCAGTAAGTTCACTTCTCTTTTTGGTGCCTTCACTGTCGGACTGTAGAGCGTTAGGAACTGGGGAATCCACACAATGGCTCACTGTTGCCTTCTTTTGAACTGCATCATCTGAGGTCAGTGATTTTTGTTCTGATATATGACTTGGAAGGATAGATTCTGCCAAATCTTGTAAGCTTGGCTTTATTTTGTCCACATCTTGTTCTTCAGTAGTTCTGGGTTTCTGAACATTTTGGCCGCAAACCTTATTAATATCATCTGGAACTGCTGTCTCATTCACCAAATGTTCTAAAGATGAATCTTTGATTTTCATTTTCTCTTTAGTCTCTTCATTGTAAGTGCTTGCTTTATTAGGAACTTGAGTTGTCTCAAATAACTGCTTATTTGATTTCTGTTTGTGAACTTCGCTACTGACAATCTTTGAACCTTCTTCTGATTTTTGATTCAGAATTTCAGATTCTGTCAGCATTTCTTTGTCTGGTTTTATTATGTTTGAATCTTGATCTTTAACAATGACAAACTTTTGGTCTTGAACAGTTCCTGGTTCACTTGCACTGTTTGCAGTTGTTGACTCATTCGCCAAACTGTCTGCTGATATATCCTTTGTTTTAGAGTCATCTTCAGCTCCTTCAGCACCCTGACCAGTGGTGGTTGAAATTTGTAGCTCCTGAAACTGACTCTCCGTTACCTTCTTTAGAGTTTTTGTTGTGGATTTCTCATTTATTCCAAATTTTGCATATTTGGATGTTGATAACTTTTCATCATCGCTAACAGTTGTTGCCATCTGGACTTGTTGCTTGCTGTCCTCACTGATAGCAACTGGATGTTCAGTGTTCAAACCTTCTGAGGACTCAATGGCTTCGACTGATTCCTCATTTCCTTCAGTTTGAAAGTTTACAGACTTTACTTTAAAAGTTGCATCAAGTCCTTCAGTCTTCTTGTTTTTTACTTTTTCACTTCTTATGGTCTCTTTTTTGTGATCTGAAATATAATTCACATGTCTGTCTTGATCTACTGTGTCAACATGCTGATGCACATTTAAAGTCTCAAACTCTGACTGGATTCCTGTCTGAATATCACTGTTCACAACTGTTGTGTTACTCTCCAAATACTTCATTGATAATTTATTAGTTTCTGTGTTACTGTGTATACTTTCAGCCCTCTGAGTTTCAATACTTAAAACATTTAGATCTTGTGTTGGATCAAGTTTCTTTCCCATGTGAACTTCTAGACATTTGGACTCTGCTGTCATATCAACACTTTGTTCTGTTATTTTATCGTTTATTCGTTGGTCTCTGGTAGTCAACTTCTTTTTTTCTTTATTGTCCTCTTTGGATTTAGCACTAAATATTTTTTTGTTAGTGACTGATATTTCTGGAGATGTTCTTTCTTTTACTTCAGCAGCATCTTTGAATTCCATTTCTCTGTAATTATCCTTGACTTTTTCTTCTTCTTCTTTGGTTAAGTGTTGTTTGGTTTCCTGTTCTGGATCAGTCACACTGAATGCAGTTTCATGTTTTTCACTCTTTGCTTGCTCTGCCCTCTTTCCTTCCGAGTTGTTTTTAGCTACTTCCTGTTGTTCCACTGTAGTTTCAGACTGGAAGAGTTTTTCAAGAGATGATGGCCCAGTTGATTTCTCTGAAGTTGCAAGTCCTCCATCTCCACCCTCCATAGCTCTGTCTTTGAGCCCATCTATGCTACTTTTATGTGTGCCTGTGCTTTCTATTGCTGCAGTATTAAGTGTTTCGCCTAGTTTTGAGTTGTTCTCCCTACGCTCAGAGTCTTTTAAAAGGGTCTCTTTGTCTGACTGATTTTCAAAGTTCTTGGGAAATTCACAAACAGTTACAGTCTCTGTTTCAATGTCCAAAGCTGCAGCTGGTTTCCAGCCAACCTCCTCTTTACTTTGCTCCTCTACGTCTAAATCTTTTGTTGCATCCAACATTAATTTGCTGTCATTTTTGTCTGTGGTTTGATCCTTCAAATAGTATTTTGAATTGACCGGTGCAGCAATATTCAATCCTGCAGGGAGGATGTGTGAGTGCATATCTTCTGGTTCAGGATATTTGCCTTCTGGGGTCAATTTAGCTGGGAGAATTGCTTCTGAAAAGGAAGTTGCTGTGTTTATATCTTTGAAGGGAATGGTACAAATTGAAACACTTCTCTGATCAGAACAGGTTGTTATGTCAGAGAGAATGCCATCATCCAACCCAGGTTTGGCAGACATATTGGTTACATCCTTGTGAGTTGTTTCCAATGCCATAGATTCAGTGTTTTTCTCTTCCTGGTTTAAGTCAAGTATTGTATTACTTGTTAGCTCCTCTGATATACCTTTGTATTTTATTCTAGGGGAAGTTGTTGATGATATCAATGTTTCCTGTCTCTGTGTTTTATCAGGAGCTGATTGAATTTCATATTTTGTGTGTTTGGCATTCACCTCTCCTTCGGTCTCAGCATTCTTTATGTCTGTAACATGTGACTGAGATGATGTTTCTTTATCATCAACACTGATCTGCATTACTTCAGTTACTGAGGCTGTCGCTGCTGAAACGTTTACCTGAACGTTGTCTGTAATGTTTACATCACTGTTTTGGAGAGATTGGATTTCTGGAATCTCTCCAGGTGTAGTGTTCTGTATGCTTGCCTCTAATCCCTCTGTGGTTATTTCTTCTTTCATGGTTTCACATACACTGGTCTGTTTATCTGTAATTTTAATGCATTCCTCTGCAGATTTGATCTTGAACCTGTTGTCACTGTTCTTAATTTTATCTGCTGTAGCATAAACTTTAGTTTTCACAGAAGTCTCTGTAGATGTGTTGTGATGTGAGTCCTCAGATTTAGTTGATTCTTGATGATTTTTAGGTTTTCCTTTGTAGGAGCTTCTTTGACCTCTTGTGGGAAGCTTACTCCCAGATGATGAGGCCTCAGGTGAATCCTTTACAGGCCATTTGTTGTGTTGTTTGGTGGTGTCATTTTGCTTGTATAACCTCGAAAGTACAGGTTTTTCTTTGATGGGAGGGGGAGAGATAACTGAGCTCGAAGTGTCACTCTCTTCATGGCTAATGCTTCTTTTAGGGGCCTGTTTGGATGACTTAAATGCTGCCATGCTTCCTACTCCTGAAATACACAAACAGTTCTAATTCAACAAAGCTCAAAAATAGACACAGAAAATAATAATATTCATAATGCCAAGCGAATTGACTGATTTTTGTCTTAGCCAACATATAAGGATTATATTGTCTTACCTTTCTTAGGACTTCCTGGAAGTGGAGTTGTCTTGCTTTCAGGCCCCTCATTATCAGGAGCAGCTTCCTGCTGCTCTGGACTTTGGTTCTGGACTGTTTCAGTCTTGTCCAAGTCTGTCTGACTGGACAGAACTTTTTTAGTTGTGTTACAACTTGTCTGACTTATTTCATCGCTCTTCTTTTTTGTTGGGGATGAAACAGGTAGGCGACTCTTTGATGCAAAAAGAGCATTGCTCTCCAGATGGTTCAGCTGCTGTTTCTTCACATCAGTGTTGGGTGGTTGTCCGCTTTGCACACTTTTCTGCTCGAGCTCCTTTACTATGCCATTTACAAGGTTTCCAGACTTAAAGTTCTCATTTGACTTTTCTCTAACAAGTTTTATTCCTGTCTTGTAGATGTTTTTTGTGGGGGAAACAATTCCTGACGCAGACCTCCCAACCTTAACTTCCTCCAAACTTGGTTTCCTGGAGGGTTTGGGTGGAGGTTTCACAGGTTCTTTGGATCTGGGTTGTTTTTGCAGTTTGGAAGTAACTGCTGACCCTGAAACATCAGGGAAAGACATTTTATCAGGTGTTAGTGGTGATTTTGGATCAGTATCTGATGGTGACCTTTTGGGGATTTTAGACTTTGCACCTGTAGCATTTGGACTACTGGCACTTTGATCTTTAAGTACTGGAAATCCAGAAAATGTTTTGTCACAAGTAAGCTCCCTTTGTGGTGGACAATCAGTGGAAGTTTCTATTTTTGTGACCTCTGTGAACCCTTTTGCCTTTCTTGTGACATTCCTGACCCTACCTCCAGTTGCGGAGGACGAGGGCTTTGTTCCACTTTCTGTGGTATGCTGACTTTCTGTTGCTCCTTTAACTCCTCGTTTAGTGGGTCCTTGACTTTTTACTCCAAATTCCACAGCTTGCAACTTTGTTTTGTTCATGTCTAAAGGAGCAGCAGTATCTCCAAAGTCAGAGGCCTCAGAGTCTGTTTTTACTTTAACTATAAGTTCAGGAGTGTCTGTACCAAGCTGTGAGGTCTCTTCTGTAGTTGTGGATAGTTCAAGGCTGATATCTTTGATTTCTGCGTCATTGTTGTCTTGAAGGATTGTTATCCTGTTAAAAACAGAAAGAGGAAAGCAAAACGTTGGTGTGCAAATACTGTTACCTATAGTACAGTATATTGCCACACACTCATATTACAAAAATAAATACCATGCATACAGTGTTCACACTAGTTACAGTAAATACCTTTGCACCTAACTCATTGGTACATATGTAGTTGGGGCTAGGAAAAGCAAACAGAAAAATGTCCATCTGGTTCTGTCTGAGCATAGATAATCTCCCACCCTAATGCTTTGCTTTTTGTCTGCAACAAGTAAACGCCAACATAAGGTGTCTTTAAATGAGCTAAGATAAATTAATTATCAGAACCTGCTGGTTTAAGCAAAATGTGTCATCGTATGCAAGATTCTTATGTTTTTGTCCAATGTCCATTGTTTTCTGTCAAAGGCCTTCCCAGTTTTAGCATTTAGGCAGAGTGTGAACAATAGTAAATTACCCCTTCCATCCTCATCATAACCAGTTTATCCCATCGTTTTATAAATCAAAGATTTTCAACTGAATCCTGAAGACCCACTGTCCTGCATGTTTTATGTTTCCCAGCTCAAACGCACCTGATTCAAATAATGAAACCCTGGCTCAGCATATTATACTCTGTGTTATATCTTTTAAAATAAAAAGCAGATACCAGTAGTTCTCCAAATAGTTGTAATACCATATATCAGTTGTGAGACAATTATGCAAAACCTTTGACTAAGGAATGAAATGACAGCAGTGGTGAGTCAGAGGAAGATTGTAGACTTGCAAAAATACAAAAATGGTGGCAGCTTTGCTCTAAAACAGAAGCTTGCAAAAAAAAAAAACGTAAATAAAAACAATTAACAGTGCTCCTTTAGAGTTTCAGTTAATTTAACCCCGCACTTTTAGTCATGGTCTGAATGTCCATGATCGGCCTAACAAAGGCACAATTAGAGAAATATGGAACCATAGGGGTGCTGCATCTCCAATATTGTAGCACTTTTTCACAGGGTTGTGCACTTTTATATGAGCTTTAGACTAATCATCAATGTGATTATTTTAGCTAATAAACTGTTCATCTCCTTCACTTTCCCTGATTGAGTTGTTAGAGCAGTCATCTTCCAATGTAAGTGGTGGTGGTTAGATTCTACCCATATACAGTCACATGTCCAAGTGTTCCTGGGCAGGACACCGGACCCTTCATTGCCTCTGATGCATGTTCCATCAGTAAATAAATGTGATCTAAATCACTGATTAGTCTCTATAGAAGTTTTTATTCAGATTAAAGTTGTAGAGATGTAGTAGAGTGATGTATGGATGGGTAAATGAGGGCACAGATTGGGTTATAAAGAGCTTTGAGTAACCTGGTTGTATAGAACAATGCTATATAAGTACTGTACAGTCCTTTTATTCACTCATTAGCTGGTTTGATTAATGCAACAACTAAAAAGGCCAGGACTCCATCTGAGTTTGAATTGTTTTAGATGGTGTAAATATGCTTGAATGTGCCCCGCTCAGATAAGCTGCTAGCTTTACTAAACTGAGAATTTCTCCCTGATTTTCCAAGCTAAGACCAATGTAACAGCGGACTATAGCAGGGAAGATACAAATGTCATATCTTTACTCCAATGGAAAATGGAAAATGGACTGTACTTATAGCACCTTTCTATCTAATCAAGATACTCAAAGCTTTTTACACTACTAACTGTGCCCTCATTTACCCATTCCTTCAGCACTCTACTATAGCTTTACAAAAAATAATCTGTGCTTTATCTCATTCATACACTGATAGGACACACATCGGAGGCAATGAGGGGTTCAGCGTCTTGTCCAGGGACACTTTGGCTGGTGGAATCAAACCCCCAACTCTTGCAATGGAGGACAACTGCTCTAACCACTCAGCCACAGCCGCCCACGTGAAATGACAAAAACACGTCATTTCATAAAAATCACACAAAGATCAGATTAGAGTCCACTAAAGATACAAAATCCAACAAACAAAAACCATTCACGTGTGCAGCTTTAGTCTGCACGCAGCATACAGTATCTGAAAATACAGGCTGTAAAAATCACATCATGAACATCTACTATCCCTGAGGCAAACTGCTCGCACTTTACACAATGTCCATGTACATTTCATCCATATTTTATGTTTTCACCTTGTCTTGTTCAGGCATGATATCCTTTAGCTGGGAGGGCACTGTTGCTCAAAAGTTTTAAAGGATTTGCCTTTAAAACGCAACTTCAATTTGCAGCAAGAGCGGTGTCAATGAATATTAAATATCCAAATAGTTCTGTTTAACTACATGTCTATGTAAATCTAATCATGTCAAGTTCTGCCATATTAGTCATTATGGTGATGAATATACACAAAAGACCATCTTTTAAATCTCTAATGAAATACTTAATATTTTACAGTTCTAATAAGTGATTCATCACATAGTAATGCTGATTTTAGGTGTTTTTGAGTATAAATATCACGACTGCCTGTTCTGTAAATGAATATTTCAGTGCCTCCCAACCGGCTCAGTCCATTGTTCTCCTCTGGTACAAAGAAACATGGGAGCACAGAGATCGGGTTGCATTCAGGCCAAATTCTCTTCAGCTCCCCTGCTTTCTGGTTCTCCCAGGTTCAAAGAGACTGTTAAACCGCAGAAAATAAAAACAGATGGATACTCACGGTTTCAGCTCTGCTGGGTTCGAGGTCTCAGAAGTGGACTCTGCGATGGATTCCTCACCTCCTTCCAAACTCAGCTCAGGGTTAATAAACACCCTCTGGGCCAAAACTTTGTCCTTCGAAGGCAGATTCACAGTGTTGCGTGTCACACGAGTTTCCCTGAGCGTTCTTCTCTCCTGAAGTGAACCTGGTGGTGAGACTGTACCAGTGTTGGGCTCTTCCGGCTGAGGTGAAATTGTCTGGAACTCCTCTGAAGTCACTGCCAAGGCTGGCAAGCTGCCACTGGTTAGCAAACTCCCTGACAGGGCAGAGGGGCTTTCTTCCTGTGTTACTGAATCATCCTCAGGTATTACAGTAACAGGTATAGCAAGCAGAGGAGGCGAGTCTGCTCTTATGCCCTCCTCTTCTTGTTTCAGTCGTCTTCCCTCCCCCTCCTGTTCGTCTCCCAGGTATGTTTCCACCCAGATGGCTTTGTGGACTTGGACAGGAGAATCTGCTCTGGGTGTTTGCTGTCTCTCAGGTGAAGAGCTCCATGTACCAGTAGTTGCTGCGATGTTCTCGGACAAGCCGGCAGTGGATATCGTGAACCCCGAGCCTCGCCTTTCTACTTCTGGAGGGTTAATTTCCTGCTGGGTTGTGATGCTGTGTGATGTAGAGAACCGAGAGCCTAAAGTTATTCCTTTTAAAACAGTGCTGTGCCCCTTGTCTCCAACTTTTACCTCAGTTTTCTTTGATGCTAAGCATATAGAGGTCAAGTTAGGAGACTTCGGAGTCTCAGCTGTCTTGGAAAGTGAAAAGTTAACAGACAGTGGGGTTGTTGGGGTAACAATGTTTTCCTCGCTACAGCTAGGCATATTTTCATCCAAATTAACCTGCAGCCTCTTACTAACTTCCTCCACCACCGACTTTGTCAAGTCTAAATCTGAGTAGGAGCTAGCATCTGGATGAGCAGCAGATTCAAGCTCTGCGGCGGCGGTTGCAGCTTTCCCAGAATTCTTTTCATCTTCTGCTGTGCTGACCCTGCAAACGTGCACTTCCCTCACACTGCTCCTGCCGCTGCTGTTGCTGTCTGCGAACGGGAGATCCCGATCATCCGTCTTCAGAGAAACCACGCTGGAGGCGCTGGGACTGGAGGTGCGGCTCAGAGTTTCGCCCATCTCCGCTCTGGATTCAGCATCATGTGGCGCAGTTAGCTCACCATTTTTTTGAGAATCTGTTGGAATCTTTTGTCCATCTTCGTAGGGAGACGAGGGGAAACGGGGAGACACGGGAGAACTTGGTGAACTTAAACTGGTGGAGGTGGCTGACTGATGCCTTTTGCCGCTCTTTTTCCTTTGAAAGAAACTCGTGAAGCGATCCAACATTCCCTTTCCCTCTGGATTCTGAAAGAGAACAAAGGGCAACAAGAAAGATTTGAAACTTGACTGGATAACCTTTATGGAATAAGTTTCCAAGTTTGTAAAAATCCACTAACTCCTAAAAAGCACATGAAGATTTTAAATTCACCAAGATGATGTTTTTATATATTTTGTCTTTTGTTCTATTGTATTGTTTTATAGTCAGAAGAAGTGAGATTTTATCTAAGAAAAGGACATTTTAGTCGCTTATAGTGCTGCAAGAGAAGAATGCAGATGATTTCCTGCACAATAGTAAAGCATCAAGCTGAATGACTAACCAGATAAATTGCAAAACATATTCAATGCACAGCTCAAAGGTCGCTCATTACCTCTAACTGCAAACAGAGGGAAGCTGAATTAATAAAGTTATGGATCAAAACAGGAAATAAAAGTATTTCAAAACTGTTTTGATCAAATACTGATGTGGCGTTCAGTGTAAAAACAACAGCTGTGATTCAATTTTACATCATATTTTTATCACTGCAATGCATTTTTTTCTTTCTTTTGTCTTGTACAAAAATCTGATAGATTCAAAACACCTCGTTGCTTCCTTGCTGCAAGATCTGGTTTACAGTTTCACAAAACACAGGCACGTCAGAACACGATATGTGGACCACAAAAGAAGAGTAAACAAACGACGTCGAAAACAGAACCAGTTTTGTTCCTGGATTGAAAAATGGTCATTTTTTTTCTAGTTTCTTCTCAAAATTCTAAAACAGCCGATAGAATGAGCTCAGCTTTGCATCTTTCAGAGGACACATTAGTCCAGTAGCCATTAAAACACTTATAAAGTTATGAAAACCCATTTCTACCTACTGATTGCCTGGTTAAAAATGTTAAGGTGTAAATAAGTAATTCACCTCCTCGAAGCGTGAGTCTGATTTGAAGCTGTTTGCATTGCACCTACAGTATAACACAAAATAAAGCAGTGTTCACAAGCCTACAGAAACAGGGTGTGGCAATCCCTGCAGAGGACAACTGCACCCTTCCTCATTCAAAAGCTCTCCCTATCAATAGCTCATCTGTTAACCACCGAGCTGATATTAACAAAGATTTCAGCTTCAATTTCAGTAGTTTTTAAACTGTTCTTTTAGATGATTTATCCAATAAAAAGGGTCAAAGGTGCAGCAAACCAAGGCTGAAGGAGGAAATAAATCTCAGCATAGTTCAGTCAGATTCAGCTCCAACTGCCTAAAGGTATAAAGGTCAATATATTCTGCACATTTCATAAACAACGCTGTATGAAACTCGTTTTAGCTCACTAGCACATGTCAAATGTGCACGTTTACACTGAGTAAACAATAGTCTGCCGTCAGGTTTTCAAATTCATTCTGAAACACGCCTCTGAAGTCAAAGCTGTGATACTATACCTCCAGATTGTTCCCAACAATCCACAAATCTACCAGATGAAAGATGATTTAAACAAACAAAAAAAAAGTATAAATGAAGTTAACCTTTGTGTCTTTAAAGGCTCCTTTTAGTCTCACCGGTATAAGTTCTTCTCCGAACGTTCACCTGTTTACGCACAGCCGAAACAAACGTTAGGTAGGTGGAGATATTGAGCCACATCTCGCTGCACTTCCTTATCTGTCAGCTAAAGCTCTGCTTCACGCTCTTATGTGAGATAATATGAAAACAAACAACAGCTTTGACCTGAACAACAGTTAATATTGTCATTATGCCGTGTATAAAAACTCAATCTAAATCTAAACTAAAAATAAGCTGAGGAATTTGTTGTATAGCGGATGTTTTATTTTGAAAGTTCTTTATTTGTAACGTAGAAAAAAAAAGTTTCTTCCAAAGAACTCCTGTGGATACAAATAACAGGAGTGGTTTGACAGGTTTGAGTAGAAAATATATAAAGTCCATAAGACAAAGACATCCTATATGATTATCTTGGCGCTGACCTTGGAAGAAAAACACACTAGAGGTTTTATTTTGTTTTGTTGTTTCCTGTTATCGTCCTTGTTGTCCCTCAGCTGATTTTATTACGACACAAGGTTTCAGTTTACAAATGTCCACATCTGCCCTGCTGCCTCCCTCTGTGTATATCTATAGTTCCAGGTATTCCCTTTGTCAACGTCTCGTCTCAGTTTGCTTTGTTTGCGTCTCTCATGTCAAGCCAAAGGTTTGCTCCGTCTTCCGTTTTGTTTCAGGTGTTCTTGACCTTTGCAGCATCTTTGGTTTATTCATAAGTAATGCAATTGTTTCATCCACATGCTTCAAGAGCCTTGTTTTGGTTTGAATCCTCACAAAAGTGTATTATCTTCGATGAATCACTCTTTGCAAAGATGCACGAGAGGGTGCAACCTGCTAATAAATGAGTCAGCAAAGCGTAGGTGTTTGACTCTACAGAAGCAAAACATGCCTGTAGATTTACGCACATCTTGAACTGTATACTTAACATTTAAATATATTTATTTGATGTCAGGTGGTTTAGATGGTTAAACTGAGCAGTCCATCTCCAGAAGCTGATAACTAATGCAGCAGACTGAGGTTAAAGGTCAAATCTGTGCTTTTTTTTGTTGTTGTTGTTGCTGCAAGTCACCCACTTTTCTCAGCATTCTTTAGTCCAGATAAACAAAGTGGAAAGATTTTCTTTTTCTTTCTTAACGCCCATCCTTGTGTCCCTGCAGATATGTGATTTAAACAACACTACTGCTCATCGATCATACTGGAAAGTAAAGTCCAATTTCTAACATCTGAACATGATCTGCAGATCAATTTAGCTGAACAAGCGTCTGAAGAGTCAGTCAAATCAAAAGCATTGAATTATGTTGCCTTGGCTTATACTGTATTTTCCAGCGTATAAGTTGCAGTTTTTTTGTGTAGATTTATCAATCCTGCGACTTATATGCCAAAGCAACATATACTTTTGTTTCCATATTCATAAAGCAATTTTTGACTGATGCTTTAACTTTCTAAGAACTGCAACAGCGAGTCCTCCCGGGCACCCTCGCTTCATCCAGCTGGTGCAGGCGGAGAAACGCTGGAGAGCTAGCGGCTCCGGCCGCGATGGATGAATGGATGGATGGATGGATATATGGTGCCATAGGTCCAAGCGAAATGAAGCTGTTTTGACGATTAAATAAACGTATAATAAATGTGACTTATACGCTGAAGTGACTTTTATGTTTTTTCCTCTTCATTATGCTTTTTTGACTGATGCGACTTATATATATATATATATATATATATATATATATATATATTCTGTTCACTTTCTTTGTCTAACATTGTCAAAAACATATATTCTAAATATTTCTACTTTTGGTACAGTGATGTCCATTTTAGCATTGTGCCGTCCAAACCCTCTTTAGTGGATCTTTCTTTTCAGGACTAGTGTTATAATATTTGAATGAAGCTCCCTGCTTTCTTTCTTTTACATGTTTTTCGTGTACCCATTGTGCTTTTGCAACGATCGACTGCAGCCAAATCATTAGTTTCTAAATCTACCGAGGGTTATTGAACCTCGACAATCAAATCCATTCAAATAATACATCAAAAAAAAGAAAAAGGTTAAGGTTTATTAAATATGCAGGTGTTGATAAACTACAAAAAAAGGGGTTGCATCCATATAACAATAATACATAAAACCTTTAAATGCTAAGACAAACAAAAATATACAAGAAAATTGAGGTTTTGCTTTAAAGGAACCAATTTTTTTTCTGTATTTTTATTGTTTACTTACTCGCAACACAGACCTATGAATCAGTGAAGTATGTAAAGCGCTTAAGAGTTTGTTAACAACAATCAAGAGTTTGAGCAACAACAGCAAATGAACTCTGTGTTTGTCAGAGAAAACACATGACTGTCACACAGTTACTGCAAGATCTATTCTTGCACAATTCTAAGAAACCTTTAGCTTTTATAATACAAACACATACATTGAGCATGAAACCCACCTTGAACAGTTTGGAAGGGGACCGGGGGCTGCTTGGCTGAGTCATGTCGAAGCTAATCATGGAGGAGTACTCAGCAGCGTGAGGGTCCCGGTCAGACACTGGCTGGAAACTGCACTCTGTGGAAACGCTCATCTGGTCGAAACTCCTGGTGGAAGGAGGCAGGAAACAGGCAGAGGGTGAGGAGGCGGGAAACAGAGGATGTTATGTCACTGGCTGTTGTTTTTCCTATCATTGTACAGCACATATACTTGTCTCACTATAAAACTTTACTTAATATTGCAACAGTTCTGATATCTGCTCTGTTTTATTGCTTCACATTTAGGATTAGTTCAAAAAGCATAATGTGGACTACGGGCATGCATTGTACTCCAGCTTTGCGTGCAACTAAATCTCAGGCGACGACAGCTCTAATTCTTTCCTAACACATTAGGGGCAAGGTGAAAACACACAGAGATAACAGAAATTAAAACACTCAAGGAACAGTGACTCCCCAGCATGAGCTAAGTAATTAGAGAGCTGCAGAGGATTCTGGTGCACGTGTGTGACATTAGGAGGTGCTTCTACTTTAGGGAGGGGTTTTTCTGCAGCTGCGGCGAGTGCTGTTTGAATGGATCACACCCAGTCTGAGAACCCAAAAGTCGTTTTGGTTCATTTCAACTGCACAGAAGATCGCTGTGCATATTTGAGTACAAGCATACGCTGTACTAGCAGAAATGAAGTTATCAGGAAGTACAAACGTGAGTTTATTTCTTTGATCAAGTGTATTATATCTAAATATGGCTCTAAATGTAAACTAGAGAAACTGCATTTACTGCGAACATGAAGTGTGAATGCTTATTGCAGAACAACTTACTGACAAACAGCTGAATTTATCTAAAAAGAACATTCTGAAATTGAGCTGAAATGGAAGAACAAGCCTAAATTAGCAGATGAAAGCAGAAATAACACATAACTGTTGAATTAGGTTTAAATAAGCAGGAATGAGCACAAAAATTAGGAAATTAGCTTAAAAAAGCTGACAAAAGCAAACAATAGCTGAAAAGTAGCTGAAAAGGCAGCAAGAAGCTTAAATTACCAAAAGGAAGTGGAGAGAGCACATTTTAACTGAATTAGGCAAAAAAAAAAAAAGTTGAAATTATAGGGAAAAAAAGTGGAATTAGCTGAAAAAGCTAAAATTAGCATAAAACAGTTAAATAGTAGCTGGAATAACTGAAAGAAGCTGAAAGAAGCAAAACATGCTGAAATTAGCAAAAATAATTTAATTGGGTTAAAAGTAGCAGAAATTCACATAAACACTTGAATTTATCTGAAAACAGCTGAAATTAGCTAAAAATGTAGCTGAAAAGGTAGAACAAGCTTAAATTAATAGAAGAACGCAGAAAGAACAAGTTTGCTCAGTTAGGCTTAACGAAGCAGAAATGAGCACAAAGAAGACAAAATTGTCTGAAAAATGCTGAAATTAACAAAAAAAAAAAAAAGGCTGAAAAGTAGCTAAAACAACAGCAGAAAGAAGCTTAAATTACCAGAAGGAAGTGGAGAGAGCACATTTTTGCTGAATTAGGTTGAAAAAAGTGTAAATGAGTACAAAAAATGTGGAATTAGTCAAAAAAAAAAAGGCTGAAATTAACATGAAAACAGCTAAATAGTAGCTTAAATAGCAGAAGAAGCTGAAACTTGCATAAATCAGCTAGGAGCATAACAAGCTGAAATCAGCAGAAAGAAGTTAGAAGAAGTACAAAAATGTAGTTAGTAGAAAGAATCTGAAAGGATCTCAAAACAGCTGAAAAACAGCTGAAATCAGCAGGAAGTAGCTGAAATGTTTTAATTTGCACAAGAAAGCTGAAATGAGCTGCATCTGAACAAAATGTAAAAGGAGCAGTAAAAGGTTTTAAACAGATCTAAAGATTTGAAGGATGTAAAATTAGCTCTATTTGTTTCCTATGAGAAAAAAAAGTGTCAGAAAAGGCTAAATATTTCAAAAAGCTAAAGTTGCACCAATATCAAAAGTCATAGCACCCTTCTCCTGAGCGAGCTGATCATTTTGATATATGAATTGTTGAAAAAGCACAAAAGTTGTGGAACAAGAAAGATGCCGATAAATGTACGGAAGAAAAACTGATCACAATAGTGTGAATGCTTCACAAGCATCCACACAATAATGCACAGGAGACATTTAACGGACTTCAGCAATGACGTCATGAAAATAGCAGCATGTTCACAGTCACCAGGACATTTTGCAGGAATGTGCAGTACACAGTTTGTCCAGGAGGTGGCAGTCCTTGACTGTTTTATCAAAAGGAGAAATGGCAGAACCCCTGCATGGATTAGATGGTTATTTTTGTTTAAAAAAAAAACAACAGAATGCTAAACTAGTATGAGGATAAATAATAAAAGTTATCAAAGCTGTCGCACATTGTAAACACAAACAATTTTAGAAAATTATGTTAGTGTAAGAATGAGCGGAGAGGCTGCAAACTGCACATTTGCATTATTTTCCAAGTCACAGCTTTTAACTATGATGATCCTCTGCAGCTTGAACTTTTACTTGATAAAACAGATGTCTTAAATAAGGTTTCCACAATGGTAGAGCTTTATTTGTATATAGGAAAACTTGTGATTTGTTTTACAAGTTTATTTTTTTTATATATTTACTTCTTTTGTTTTTATAAAGCAAACCAAAATGAAACATGATTTAACAGTCCAAATGATGTAGTAGCTAAGGTTTTTGTCCAGTGTCCATGTTAGTTTCCCAGTATATGTAAAAGAAGAACACAGAAAGAGACATACATGTTCATTTTAAACTTTGCGCTTGGTGTGCTCTAACCATGCAGTTTATGAAAGATTAAAGAGTCACGGATGCGAAAAATGCTTCAAGAAACTTGTTTTTCCTCTAATTACAGCTCTTCGATGTGGATAATTTATTCTCCAGCTGCACATTTGCAATCAAAATGGCAAATTGATAAACTGAGATTAGCATGCAGGTTACAGGTCAGAGCCAAAATGAGACAAGAAACTACATCTGTCTACAACCACATTTTTCAAAAGGCACGTCCAGTAATTCCCCTTTGCTCTACAAAGCTTGACCTAATTTAAATTTAAAATTTGCCTCCCGATTTCCTGTTTTCTCTGACATGATTCACCATCTTTTAATAAAACAAGTAGCAGCTAGTTGCTTTCAATCAAACGCTGTCGTGAGAGAATAAAAGTTGCGCCACAGAGGTATCGTGCTGATACACGACTGTCAGCAGCGTCCCATGAAGTCACTCTGTGTTGCAGTCCTGTCGTGGATGCCTCCTGAACAAGAACTGATTTATGGTTTTGGGACTGATGTGTCGACTGTCACTTCTTCACAGCTGCAGTCGATGGATGTGCCCTAAAGGGATGCAGCTGAATTATGCAGGAATTTGGTGTTTTTTCCAAATAGGAAATGTGCATATTGTTTAATGGAAATATGATGACAACTCAGTCTTTTCTTAAACTGATAAGTCCCACAAACGGTAAGTTGAACTTTAAACACCAGGGGACGAAGTTCCATTCAGCTTTTCAACAATGCAAGGTTTTCAACCACACTGACGTAGCTGAGAGTGCAAATGCGCTGCAGCTAAGGAAAACACATGATACTGTCAAGTTATGGCAATATGTCTAACAATTGGACAAATGCAACCAGCACATAAGGAGCAACAGCACTGCTGCAAGGAGTCACGTTAATTACAATTAAAGATGCACAGCAAGAATCCACAACACAGGCAACAATGGCTGCGCATAAAAACTCACAATACAAAATAAAATTGTGCTGAAAGAGACAAAGACGACAATATTAGAGAACACAAAATAATGATGCCGGCCCGCAGTTTTCAAGCTATTTAAAAAAACCAAACACATATTAAAACATTCAGCTCTTTCAGGACAATCCTGCTGACTTTTGGTGCAGCTTTAGCTTTTTGAAATATTTAGCTTTTTCTTACACTTTATTTTTCTCATAGAAAATGAATTGAGCTCATTTTACATCCTTCATATCTTTAGATCTGTTTACAGCCTTTAAATGCTCCTTTCACATTTTGTTCCTGTAATCATTTTTTAGCTTCCTTGTACAAATTTAAACATTTTTTTCAGCTATTATCAGCTGTTTTGTGATCCTTTAAAATTCTTTCTGCTAACTACAAACTTTTTGTGCTTCTTCTAACTCCTTCAGCTTATTTTTGCAAGTTTCAGTTTTTTTTTTAATATTTCAGCTACTATATTGCTGTTTTATGCCCTCTTCAGTTAATTCCACATTTTTTGCACTCATTTAAACTTTTTTGCAGCATAATTCAGCAAAAACTATTCTCTTTCCACTTCCTTCTTGTAATTTTAGCTTCTTTCTAATTTTTTTGCTACTTTTCAACTGCTTTTTGTTGTTGTTGTTGTTGCTAATTTCAGCTTTTATGCTGATTTCTACTTTCTTTGTGCTAATTCTGCTTCTTTCGGCCTAATTGGGCAAACATGTTTCCTTTCTGCTTTCTTCTGCTAAGCTCGTTTTACATTTTCAGCTACCTATTTCTGTTAATTCCAGCTTGTTTTGCTCCTTTCAGCTTTTTTCTGCTACTTCAGCTACTGTTTAGCTGTTTTTATGCAAAATTTAGCTTTTTCAGCTAATTCCACTTTATTTTTTTTGCTAATTTCAGCTCTTTTCACTTCCTTCTCGTAGGTTAACCCTTTTTGCTTTTCTGCCTTTTTGGCTACTATTTTAGATTTTTTTTGTTGTTGCCAATTTTAGCCTTTTTTTTTTAGCTGATTTCCTATTTTTTATGCTCATTTCTATTTATTTCAAACTAATTCAGCAAATATGTGTCATTTCTGCTTTCTTCTGCTAATTTAAGCTTGTTTCATTTCAGCTACATTTCAGCAGGTTTCTTTTTCAACTAATTTCAGCTGTTTTTCAGCAAGTTCTGCAAAAATCATTCACACAGCATTTTTGTAGGAAATGCAATTTCTCTAGCTTTGTTTTGGAAAGATTATTTTTTGTTGTTGTTGTTTGCTTTGTTTGTGATCCCTGACCCCATCAGAGTCCTCTGGGTTGTGTTTCAGGAGGTAAAACGTCTGCAGGTATGTGTAGCTGACAGCCACATGTCAGCTGCGAAACAAAGAATCCT